CAATTTCCAACCATTTTCTCATTCAGATTTAGGATGAATCTGTTCGCTTAGGACTTCCCAATATTCCACTTTTTGTCTAGTATTTAATCCATATCCAGGGAAAAATTGATTTATGTGAACTCCTTCAGCTCCTGGGCTGAGATTTCTTTGATCTAGATGACTTGACTTGTTAAAGTCCTTCTGTTATCCATCCGTAGTCATAACTTTCCTAACTTAAATCAGGTTTAGCAGAAAGGTAAGGCACACAAACTACTAAATGTTATTTTCCTGAAAGTTCAGGTGTTGGGAGGCTTTAAGGAATTAAAAATGCCTATTTTGAATATTTGATGTCTTTCTTGTGGTATTTTTGGTTTAGGTTAATGTTTCCTAAGCATACATCAGTTTAATTTAGTATGAACAGCTTTTATTTTATCACAAGCTGTCTCTATGACTCATCCTTCCAATATATTCTTTAAGTCCCTAAGGATGGGTCTTGTCTGTGCTTTTATCTTTTTGGATTTGTCAGTCTTTTCAGATGCAAAATGATTTATTCTTATGGGGCATTGGTATTTGATTACATCTTCTCATAATGGCCAAGAGTAAATTCTTTTTTGCTAAATATAGAATTCCAAGAATATGGAAAAGGGCGTTTTACTTGTGGACTTCAGGGTTTTGAATTATCTGCCTAGTTAGGCATCCTTCAAGGACAATGCCAGTGTCTTGCCAATGCTGGAACACATCAGAGTGGTATTCTGGTGGGATTCCCATGGAATGTTGTGCAAAGAAACTCCACAATGTCTGGGATCCACCTGAAAGTGACTACTGAACATAAATCTCTTAAAGATTTATGTGCTTGGCTCTCTAGTTAGAGAAAATAAGAAAGTTCTAAACTCCTCTCCTTTGTGTTTGACCTGTTAGATCCAGGCATGATGAGACACAGATGCCAGTGTCCAGAACATGTCCCCATGACCAGGGGCGCAGTGGAAATATTCAGCTCTACGGAGGGGTAGGCAAACTGTGGCCAAAGCCACCTTACTGCCAGTTTTACAGTCTATTAAATAAGAATGGTTTTTAAAATTGTTTAAATGTTTGACTATAAAAATCAAAGAAGAATAATTTGTAATACATTAAAAAATGCATGAAATTCAAATTTTAGTGGTAATAGACAAAGTTGTATTGGATTGCAACCATGCTCACTCACTTGTGTTTGGTTGCTTTCACTACCAAGGCAAAGTCTGTTACTTGTGATAGAGACCATATGGTCCACATACAGCCCGGATACAATCATTACCTGAACTGTGGCAAAAAAGACTTGATGACCTTAAACTTTCCTGTCGGCATTATCTCACAGTTGTTCCAGAGAGCAGTAACTAAGATCTCTGCTGGTGAAAATGAGAAGCAAAGTAACTTCTCTAGGACATCTGTGGTCTTTGGAATCTTTGTTTAATCTTTCTGCTTTGTTCACTCATGATTTCCTAAAAATGTCTGTACCTGATTCTCAGAGAAGAATATCTAACATATTCTACAACTTAGTTCAGTAACTTAAAATAACAATAAAGAATAAAGGAAAACTTGTAGATTTTTGTCTTGTGATGTATGTGAAAAAATCCAGGCCAACCACCATAAAATTTCCTTCACTTCTATCTTTAGTTACTTCTGAAATGTGTCATAAAATATAATACCTCATACATATGTGTGTGTGTGTGTGTGTAACACACAATATATAGGTTATGAACATCTACAATTTCCATGAAACAGTGGAGGTTTGTTGCCTTTTTCTACCATCAGAGACTAGGGGGGAAAACTTGTTGCATTTCGTATCAGTAAAGAATGGGTAAAGTTCTGCTAAACTAAAATATTGAGCCAAAAGCACACGCTGAAAGAAAAAGGAGAAGAGGGAGAGAAATGAGAGGTCAATAGTGTAGTTGTACACTTTGAAAAAATAATTTTTAAATGCATCATCTGATCTTACCCTACCACAAATTTCTTCCACATGTCTTTATGACAATAAAAGCATCCTACTCCAAGTACCCTACTCCCCAAATTTAGTGCTGCAGAATACCTGTGGTGGCCTAACTAGACACTGTGTGTTCCACCCATAATTATGGTTTTGGATTCCTTCACTCCTTTTCCTTAGTGGTTGACCTTAGAAACCACCTAATGGTTGGTTCTCCTCTAAATTCAACTTCTAGGATGTTTAGCAAGGTTGACTCAAGTCTTTTCCACGTGCTTATCACCACTGTAGCCTACACTCTTCTTGCTCTTAGAAAATGCTCAGCCAGGCACTGGTAGCTCCTATAATCCTACCTACTTGGGAGGTCTGAGATTGGAAAGATAGCTGTTCAAGGCCAGCCCAGGCAAATAGTTCTCAAGACCCCATCTCTAAAATAACCAAATCAAAATGGACTGGATGGGTGAGCTGAGCAGCAGAACACCTGCTTTTCAAGAATGAAGTCCTGAGTCCAAACCCCAGCCCCACTTTAAAAAAGAAAAAGAAAAAGAAAATGCTCATGAAATCATAACTACATTGAACCTCCATACCTTCACACATAGGACATTTACATTTGGATGACTATTGACTCTTAATCTCAAAAAAACTGGATCTCTTACATACAATCTACCCAAGCTTAAGAAATCATGATGAATTCTGAAAACCTCCACCAATAATGGCCTTGGCTATCATGCCTGTTATACAAAAGGAACATGGAGCATTAAGGCAATAGGACTATGACGATGAGGTCAGCAGGCTACCCTCCAGATATCTATTTCTCATGGCCTGATGGCTACTGGGTCATCAGGTGGTGCCACTTCAGCCTTGGTTTTCTCCTCAGGTCTGCATCTATGTGGAGTTCACACTCTTATCTGCTCCAGCTCTGGTTTTCCAGGGATCCATGGAAGTCATCAATCAAAATGTGAAACTCTTGTATCATTTCTTCCATTCCCCATATACATTCATAACAATTCTGACTCCAAAATGTCTCTTCTTGTCTAATAGCCTTCTCCTTTTTTTGGTGGTACTGGGTTGGGTTTGAACTCAGGTGCTTGCTAGGCAGGTGCTCTACCACTTGAGCCATGCCCCAGTCCTAATACCTTTCTCACAACCACTACTTTCGTTCATCATCTCAAGACTGGATGACTACAATTTCTTCTACATAGATTCTCTATACTATGATCTGGAGTCTGTGTACTCATAAAATAACCACACAGAGACTTCAATCTGTCTCTGAATTGTTCAACTTTTTACCCATCTATGTGCTGTGAATGCACTAGAAGGTACAGAATCTGTTATACTATTGCAAATTGTCATGCCCAGCTCGGAGACCTTAGCAAATCATGCACTTCGTCAACATCAGTCCCTACAAAACAGTTGTTATAATTTAATTTCACATTTCTTCTTTTTTTTTAGTGACTCTGGTGTTTGAACTCACTAGAACCATGCCTCCAGCACCTATTTTCATATATTTCTTGTGAACATTAAATCAGGCCATATTGAAAGGTAGAGGTGATTGTAAACAATTATAGTCTTTAAAAACAAATTGCTCCAAGTATGGAAAGAAAGGAGAATGGTGAAATAATCAGTCCTCGATGCATTGTGGACTCTCCAAATGTGTCAGAAGGATAAAGTAAACAGAAGTAGGAGGACTGGAAAATGTAGGGTTTAAGAGCATGGGACTTAGAGTCTCAAAAGCAGTTTAGTACTGTGTTGTGGCTCTGAATGGTACTCAGCAATTCCATCAAAAAATGGATATAATTTTAGCACCAACTCATCAGAGTATTTCTGAGAATTAAGCAAACACTATAAACCCTTTGACATATACATGCTCTAAATGTAACAACAATCGTTGACATTAGGGCAAATTGAACTAGAACTGGTTCATGTGTGAACATGACTTTTAGGTTTTTAAGAATTCTGGCAGGTTACACGAAAGATACAAAATACATAGAGAACTCAGACACAAAACTTTTATAGAAATTTCTCTCTTAAAAATTCTTGAGAAGTGGATATTCCTAACAAGACTTAAAGATTTGAAACCACCAGGGAGAAACAATCCTGGGTGACCCTTCTGGTAACATAAGTTGCATAGACAGCATGGTGTGGTCCACTTTCCATGGTTTGCACTAGTGCAGGTCTGGAAGCCCAGACAAGGTTAGAAACTGAATACAAAGCCACGAGGTTAGCCAAGAAGGAGTTTTGGAAGAATGACTGAATGCGGATGCCAAGAATGCACAAAAATACCTCATTTCCAAGGCAAGGATCCAAGTTTGGACACCATGTACATTTTTAACTTTAAGAATTGTGTCAGGTCTGCAGAACTTAAGACTGTACTCATATCCTACACACTTCTAGAGTTACCGCTGAGTCCCTGTTCTATAATTCCACCTACATCACATGGATTTTTAGCCATTAGATATGGCATATTACCAATGCACCACAGCTTTGTGGTTAAACAATCAGAGTGCAAAGCCAGAGTGCTTTGATTTGAGTCAACCGTGGCTTCTCTACTTAGCGGCTGCTTTCCTTGGGGTGAGTCACTCTCCTGCATGTGCTTACTAGGATATGAGAATGATATGACTGCTTCCCTTCATGTTTCCGAATGGGTGAGGTGGAAATGAATTGGTATTTGTAAAAAGCTTGTAACACTACTTACCATGGAGTAAACCTTCCGTCATGAAAGCTTTTGTTTGTGTAAGAAGTCCTTTCCCTAAACTAGCAATTTCCGAACTGCAGCTTCAGCAGAATCATAGTGAACACAGGCATCCCCTGGGCCTTGTCCTGCTGTTTCTGATCCAGTGGGTTTTGAGTGGAGCCTGAGAATTTGTCTTTAAGAAGGGCCAGGGTGCTGTGCATGTTGTTGACCCCAGGACCATCTCTTGAGAACCAGTGCTCTAAGGTCTCCTTTCCAAAGTCCCATAGAAAGCTTCATATGTGATGTAACTAAAATGACCATTTCACTGCCTCTGCTTACATAAGTTTGGCATCTTAGTGAAAATATTGGGCTCCTCCCTCTTCCCGGCTGTAGCTCCGCCGCCAGCTCGGGCCTTGGCTCCCCCTCCCAAAGCCCCCTTCCCGGAGCGGAGCCCACCGCACCGCAGGGTCCCTGTCCTGTCCCTCAGCCCAGCCGCCCAGCAGAGCAGCAGCCCCGGGGCAGCCACCGCCACCCCACCTCCCTCCAGCTCAGCCCTTCCAGAACCCCCCTCCTATACTCCCATATACACACACCACCCCGACCCCAGCCATGAATCTCTTCCGATTCCTGGGAGACCTCTCCACCGCCTGGCCATCATCTTGCTTGTGCCGGGATTTCGGGGAAGAGCCAGGTCCTGTTTGCTGTGGTGTTCACTGCCCGCTACCTGGACCTGTTCACCAACTACATCTCACTGTACAACACGTGCATGAAGGTAGTCTACATAGCCTGCTCCTTCACCACAGTCTGGACGGTTTACAGCAAGTTCAAAGCCACTTACGATGGGAACCATGACACTTTCCGGGTGGCGTTCCTTGTTGTCCCCACAGCCATCTTGGCGTTCCTGGTCAATCACGACTTCACCCCTCTGGAGATCCTCTGGACTTTCTCCATCTACCTGGAGTCGGTCGCCATCTTACCGCAGCTTTTATGGTAAGCAAGACAGGACAGGCAGAGGCCATCACCAGCCACCGCCTGTTTGCGCTGGGCGTGTGCCGCACGCTTCAGCTCTTCAGCTGGATCTGGCGTTACCACTTCGAGGGCTTCTTCGACCTCATTGCCATCGTTGCTGGCCTGGTCCAGACGGTCCTGTACTGCTGTTTCTTCTACCTCTACATCACCAAAGTAGTCTGCCCGCATAGCCCTGGCCCTTGCCAGCCCTCTCCGTGACAGCGGGAGGCAGAGGAAAGCGACAGAAGACAATGAGCCTTCCTGTCCAGGGGAGACTTTTTAAAGATCCCACCTCTCCCCGTTCCCCACACCCCTCCTGCCAGGTTTCGGGGGTGGGGACAGTGGAGGACCCATGTCTTGGGGAGCTCAGGACCTGGGCTGTTTGTAGACCTTTGCCTTTTAGAGAAAACAAAAAACAAATCTTTCCACTCTTTAGTTTTTGACTCTGATGACTTGTTTCTCTTCTAATTCCGACCCCAATTTTTATAAACTGTTTTCGAGTGTCCTCTGGGCTGGAGCAAGGGCCAGAAATCTTTTCCCTTCCCCCAAGTCTCTTAGCCTCCTTCCAGATCCTTCCCCCAAGCCTCCCTGGATGCCAAACACTACATCTGCTGATGCCCACCTCCCGTCATGGCCGGGACCACAGCCCCTCTACCCCCCAAGTTTCTAGTTTGGAGATAAAGGGGGAGGGGGGAGGGCAACAAAGGTCTCCCCTGACTTTTACATAATAATTTTTGCTCAGAAAAATTATTGGGGGTTTTTGAGTCTTATCCTGATTTTTGACAAATTAGGGGGAACTCTGGGTGCAGATGTGGGAAGGGGGCTGGCCCGAGGGGCACCATAGCTCTAACGCCATGTTTTTGTACAGAATTTGAGGTTGATTCTTTGTTCTCTTGAAATAAACAGAGAAAAATGGTAAAAAAAAAAAAAAAAAGAAAGAAAAATATTGGAAGCCCATCTCGTATTGCAGAAGTTACTAAATACCATGGAGGTGGTAGGGGTGATTCTGGAGGCAGAATGGACAGCGGGCTGGAAACAAGAAAGGAGAGTGTGATCGAGGCAGATGTAGTAGTATTTAAAGCCGGTTCTCTGATAATCCCATCCACAAAGTGGTTTCTGGAGACAGGAGTGGTAGTGACAGCCTGCAGATCCAGCATCTCAGGAGCCTCTGGCAGGATAATGGCTCAAGCCCTGGAACTGGAGACTAGCTTGGGCAATTTAGTAAAACCTGCATTTCAAAATAAGTGTGTGCAGGGGGCTCCTCTGACATGTGTGTGTCTATCACAATAAGAATCAACCTTAGGAAAGGAGATTTGCCACTTGCTACAACAGAGGCTCAACCTGAAGGACATTGTGTGAAGTGAAATAAGCCTGATGCAGAAAAAAAAAGTGTGTGCTTAATTTTGTGTAGAATCTTTAAAAAAAAAGTTTTTTTAACCCAGAAAAGTCGAATATACAGATAGGGAATAAAATGGTGGGCCGCAAAGGAGCAGAGATGTATTCTGAAAGAGTCTAGGGCTGTAATTCATAAAAGTATTTTAAATTCCTGCTGAAAGAGTAGGTTTTGAGTGCTCTCGCCACACGCAGGCACATACTGCGATGTGAAACAATGGGTATGTTGATTTGTTAGTAACCACTTTGCTATCAACACGTATCCTATAATTTCATGCTGTATACCTTAAATACACACAAGAAAGTTTATTTTTAAAAACGCACAGCGGGGGGTGGGGGTCTCTTCCAAACAGGGCGCCACAAGTAAACAGATAATTGCTACCTCGGCCTGCAGAAGGGACCGTGGGGGCTGCAGACCTGGACTTGGCTGTGATCACAGGGACTTCCAGCGCAAAAGACAGGTGGGAGGCAGAGAGGTGAAGTGGGGCAGCTCCGTAAGCATCCCCAGCGCTCCCATCCTGCGCTCCCATCCCTGCGCCCGGCCTGTGGACACACTGTGCCACCCGCCTCCCTCCTGCTCCGACCAGCCGCAAGCCCATTGGTCAGCGCGAGCAGCGACTCAGCCAATCCCCTGCCAGGATGCAGCCAGCGGGTTTGTCCTGGACAGGAGGGATGCGGAGCTGAGAGGAAGGCGCAGCCCCGTGAGGACATGAAAGCCGCTTCTTGGGGACAGAGGTCAGGAAACACACAGGCAGTGAGAGACCAGTACCAGTAGCTGGGGACCCTTTTGTAGACACTGAAGCAAAAATGAGCATTTGAGAAGAAAGTCCCAGACCTAGGGCAAGATGCAATGACTACTAAATGATAGTGCTATACAAGTGACAACTTTAAGGGGAACTAGAGCACAATATCCAGGGAGGAGAATGGGAATTTAAAAGCCGGCAGCGACAAAAACTGCAACCCTAATACAAGAAGTCTTCTGGGTGAATCTGGAAATGACCGTAGCACCCCGAAGTTGTAGGACGCCTCCAGGTCTCTAGGAAGAGGATTAGGGTCCAAGTCACAAGCTTGGAGCCTTTTGCTCCTCTGGCAGCAAAGAACTTTTCCACAGAGCACTGCTCCTCGCTCGGATTTGGACACAGTTTTGCATTTCCTGGGAAGATTTTCTGTCTCTGCCTATGTCACAGGAGGATCCCGACCAAGAGGGAAGAGCTCGGGTATGTCAGTTCTCATCTCACTATGTATACTTTGAGGCTTAAGTTTATGCTCTTCTACTCCTGGTTTTCCTCTAAATCTCTGTGCACCACACTCCTGTTTTCTACTGAACGGGGAATTAGCTCATGTTCACATTCGTTTTTGTTTTTTTTTTTCTCTCTCTCTAATAACAAGGTGGAAATGCTGTTTCTAGCCATGCAAAGAACATTAAAACATTTTTGGAACCAGATGGTGACAAAGTACTTTTATTATTAATCCTATATCAAAGTTTAAATTGGGTTAAACACTAAATATAAATCCATTATCTTTAAGTCTATTTGAAAATGCAGTTTAGTACCTTTATTATTTGTAGCATTCTTCATAGCCCAAGGATGGTTGTTGGTAGAATACAAACAATTCTATCCCAAGGAACACTGAGAATTTTAACTTATGTAGGTCACTCTTGTTATAAAATTAAAATATTTTATTCCAAACCTTGCAAGTTCCGAATTTCAGGGGAGAATTAGGTATGGATCCCTGGGCTTGCTCTACATGTGGGTAAAAGATACAAATTTCTACCAAGCTGAGCATATTTCTCTCTTGGCTATGTTCCCATACCCATGGCAGACATGAGGAGAGGGGACCAAGACAAGAGGCACAGAGATAGTGCTAAACAGGGCAGAAGCAGGCAGCATCCCACCTGCAAGGGTCAGCGTGGCAACATCAGCCCAGGTCCAAGACTCAAGTCCTCCCAGCTGGCTGGTCACTGGGGCTGTGATCGTGACTTGGCAGTGAAATGTCTGCTGTGTCTTTTTTGGCAAGGACTTGAAGATGTGTCAGAAAGAGGTTTATTCCCCTTTCAGTGGATTAATACAGTCCTTAAAATGTTTGTGAAGGCTTAATCAAATAAAAACATACATTAAATGATAAAAATATTACAAAATTAAGTTTGCTCATATATGTACACATTTAGAAGTTTTTATATACACTACATATGCATATATGTGTGTATATAGGTTGGGAAATAATACAGCAAAATGTTGATTACATATAAATGATAATTTTTTCTTTTTCCTGATTATTCACAATTTCCAAATTTTTTATGATACTCGTGAATGTTTTTATAATCAGTTTTTTAAAAGTTAGTCTAAAAGAGCTCGTGAATGAACAGGAAACTAAAAGTCAGGCACATGAGCTGTCACAATATCTTCATTTTGTTCTCTAGATTCCCTGTTAGAGGACCTCTGAGCAATAGTGATTGCTATTTTTCAAGATATGAGAAGCTGTGAAGAAAGTTTCATAATAATAAACACCCGCTCGATTATACAGCCCAGCACACACACATTTTACAAAGGGTGCATTGTAACACACAGGTGTGAGTGAAATTGGCCCCTTAGGACTATTTTAAAAATCTCCCAAATTCCAGAGTTACTGTGTGGTGGTCCCGAGACCTTGCTCAAATCCCATGTATAACTTCAAAGTGTGATGCTGTTTCAGGATGAAGGTGAAAGGCAGAGATATCACCTGCTCACTGATCTCCTTCACCGCCATCTGCCTGGTGGCCACCCCTGGGAGCAGGGCCTGTCCTCGCCGCTGTGCCTGTTATGTGTCCACAGAGGTGCACTGCACATTTCGGTACCTGACCTCCATCCCAGATGGCATCCCGCCCAACGTGGAGCGCATCAATTTAGGGTGCGTGACCCTGCCTGACTCCCTTCTCAGAGAGGGAAGCCATACTGGCTACTTGTCCACACAAACACCTGTGGCTTAGGAAGATTAACCAGTTGTTTTAACATTTTTCTTCTAAAATGAGCTCATGAGAATTTTAAGTTTTGGGGACAATAAGCAAATTTGAGTTAGTAATCTTTTATTAGGAGAAAACTCTTTAGACTTAAAGACCCTCTTGGTATGTCAGGAGTTTTTGAGTAGAGAAAGTGTCAGTCAGTACATTTTTACTGGGAGAGAGTTCCTGTCAGTCAGGGTTATGTCATGCAGGGTGACAGACAACACTTGGAGAAGACATGAGAAGTCCACTGATCCTTTTGTTAAGCCCTTTGAAATTATAAATGTCAGCACAGATGCATACGATCCAGCCCTTATTAGTGGCTTCTTTAAAACACGTCTAACTAACCCTGCGCCCAAACTGTTTTAAAGGTTCATGAAAACTGCTGTGAGTGAACACCACGTGCAGTGGGACTTGCGTGTGACACTTGTGAAAATCTGTGTGCCAACCACAGTGGTTGGTAAGAGGGACACAGTGATGAACAAGTGGCCTAGCCATAGTTAAAGGGGACATGGAGGCACGGCCCATGTCTCCAATATTAATGATTGGCTCCCGTGCTGGTGCAGGGCAAGCGCTCTGAACGAATTCCCTCATGACCCTTCTGGAGGGGTGCGGTTACACGACTTTGCAGCTGAGAAAACGGGGACAAGGAAAGGCTCCTGACCCACCCAGGTATTTATTCAGGGCCTGAGCTCATCATACCCAAACCAGAGGGCTGTGCTCTAGTTCCGAGTTTCAGAGCCACTGCTGAATGAGTCCACGTGAGACAGTGAGGGATAGTGTCATAAGAAAATGGCCTGGGGCTTTGTGTTCACAAACAGAAAAGGGTAGGACCAGGGTCATTCCAAACTGATACATTAGAGCAGGTGAACAAGACATGAAAGTAAGGAGGCAGTGAAGGCAGTGATTGTTACTAAGCTCTCAAAGGCTGGGTAGGAAAGTGGACCTTCAGAGCATTTGGTGAATTTCAGTAACATTCAAGCATTTGAATCTCTCTGAAGAGCACAGGTAAAGCAAGAGAAGAGTTGGGTTTTTGGGGTTTGGTGGTTGTTTTTGGGTTTGTGTTGGCTTTGACAGATAAACTCTAGCTGAATGTCTAGAATGAGGTTTTCATTTCAGGTACAACAGCTTGGCCAGATTGACAGAAATGGACTTTTCTGGTCTGAACAAATTGGAGTTCCTCATGCTGCACAGCAATGGCATCCACACCATCGCTGACAGGGCCTTCTCGGGTCTGCAGGCCTTACAGGTGAGCCTGGGGGGTGGGAAAGGTGAGGTGGGTCTGTGAGGTATCCATACCATTGCACCCAAGGCCTTCTCAGTCCTGCAAGTGAGTTGGGGTGGGGGGTGCAGACTCCAAGAGCAATCCATTCCCACGGAATCCAAAAATGAACATCTTGTAAACTGGAGACAGATGTCAGGGAAAATATCAGAGCATCAATGTCTATTTCTAACGTAACTGTGTGTGGACATTAGAAGAAAAATCTGAGACAAGTTTGTCAAACCTTCAGCTAATAGAAAAAAATACTCAGGGATCACTAAACCTTTAAAACTTTCTAGTTGTGTTTATCTGGGAATAAAAAGTTGTCCCTTAAAATAATGAGTCTTCGATGTTAGTGTTCTACAAATAAGTATTTTTTTTTTCAGTTTTTATCTACTGTTTCAAAAAATGCTTAAGTTAGGGCCAGGACTTGAAGCTTTTGGGAAGCTAAATCACAATATGAAATTTTTAAAAAATAAAACTACTGTTCAGGAAAAGTACCATTGTATCCAATTTAAAATCTGGAAATGTCCTATAAAACTCCTCATAAAATAGATCAGTATACTAAAAGTAAAGGCAGTAAAACCCTTACGAGGGGTAAGAGCCACTGTTCAGAACCTTTTAGCATTGTCCCGGAGCCACCAGGGAGGTTTTACCCATGAGACAGCAAGAGGATGCAGTGTAGACCTGCAATCAACAGGATTTCCATCTGGCTCAATCAGGCTGTGTGGGAATGCATGTCTTCAAGAGGACACGGTCACAGAGGTCCAGGGAGGTCCCCACGCCTGTTTATTCTCTTGACTGGGTTTCAGTTGATATCGAGGAGCACTGAGATTTCACTCCCAGGTGACATTTGGCACAGGGCTCTTCTCTTGCCAAGTTTTTCTTTTTAGGAAACTCGACATTCCAGAAAAGCCTCTGTATCTGAGATGACATCTTAGGCTAAATCAGGAAGGTACAACAGGAAAGCGTTTTTACTATCATTTTCTTTTTTTTTCTTCTTGTGAGAAAGAGTATGTTTGACTACTAACTGAAAGGGAATTGGAAATACTCAAACAATTGAAATATTCAATCTTATTTTAGGTTTCAACTCAAAATCAATTAAATTCATATACTCAAAATAACCAAAAGTGGGGAGTTTCCTAAACAGATAAACAAGCTCTGGCTCAGGCCCACAGGGAACACTGTCTAGCGGTGAAAAAGCTGATGTGGGTATTGAAACACTTTTGCTAAGTGAGAAGCCAGGCACACGTCGTGGGTCTGCTTATATGAAATGTCTGTAAGAAGTAAGTCCCTAGAAACAGAGAATGAAGAAAACAACTGCTAATTAGTATATATATATTTTTTTTTGAGAGAAATGAAGCAGTTCTTAAATTAATGGAGATGGTCGTGCAACTGTGAATGTCCTGAAAACCAGTGTACTATGTGATTTAAAATTATTACAAATAAATTACAGTCTCTCTTAAATTGAAGTACTTCTTTAAAAACTTTTAAGGTGGAGAATTTCAACAGTATGCAAAGGTAGACAGAGCAGGGTCACGGACTCCCTGAGTTGTGGCCAGCTTCCATAGTGATCAATACACAGCAGACCTCACCTCCTGTGGCCTCCTGTGCATGCATTCTGCTGGATTGTTTTGGGGTAAATGTAAGCTGTTAAAATGTTTCATCTGTAAGTGCAACATAGCTCTCAAGATTGAGGAATTTTCTACAAATACAATATAATTATTTCATCTTATAATTTTAGCAAACATTCTTTAATATTAATTTCTCTGAGTTTCATACTTCGTTGTCAACTAATTTGTTTGAATTAGGATCCTAATATGGTTTAGCACACTGCAGTGGCTTAATCTCAACATGTTTTATTATTGATAGACTTTTAACTTTTGTGAAAACTCCTTTGACTAAATACGTATTCGTCTTATTCCTAGGTCTTAAAAATGAGCTATAACAAAGTCCGAAAACTTCAGAAAGACACTTTTTATGGCCTCAGGAGTTTGACCCGGTTGCATATGGACCACAACAACATAGAGTTTATAAATCCACAGGCTTTTTACGGACTCACCTTGCTCCGCCTGGTGCATCTGGAAGGAAATCAGCTCACCAAGCTCCACGCGGACACATTTGTCTCTTTGCGCTACGTCCAGATATTTAAGATGTCTTTCATTAAGTACCTGTACTTGTCAGATAACTTCCTGACCTCCCTCCCTCAAGAGCTGGTCTCCTACATGCCCACCCTCGAGAGCCTTTATCTGCATGGGAACCCGTGGAGCTGTGACTGCCATATGAAGTGGCTTTCTGAGTGGATGCTGGAGAAGCCAGGTACCCACGTTATTTATTTCAGCGTCCTACTCAAATAGAGGAACTAGCCTGGAGGCATTTTGTCAGCAATGGAGGGTCCTAGGTAATTTAGAGAGAAAATGAAGCCCAACAATTCTTTATGCCTTGTCTACGGCTGTGTTTCTGTTTCAGTAGTGAAGTCAACAGATTGTATCCCACGGTCCGTAAAGCTTACAATCTTTCCTATCTGCCCTTTAGATAAAAGTTTACTGAGCTCTCACTTGAGCTCAGCCCCTGTCCCATCCTGGTTCTCTGACTCTGAACTACTCCTGCTTTCCACAACGGTGTCACCAGCTCCTTCCTCTGCTCCCCCGCTGGAGCCCTCCCTCCCTTTTCTCCACGTGTGCTCTCAGCAAGTCCTGCCCAGCACTCATCCCTTTGGGGCTGTGTGGCTGGCTCTCCACCCACCCCGTGCCTTGGACAATTATTTCAGCACTTCTGTAGTTCGCCTGCACTTCCACATTTGAATGGATAACGTCTTAGTATGCATTAGATTTCTGTTACTTTTTCTATGTCTGATTTTCTCCTAGCCCTACAATATGCCTGGCACACAGTAGATACTCAATTTTTGTTAAAATAAGTGTTTATCAATCCTTTTGACCTATTTTGATGGTGAATACAAATCTACCCACTAGATGCCTATGGTCTTAAAATGTCTCAACAAATTTACAAATTCATATACTATATAGAAGTCACACACAACATAGATGCAGATACACACAGATGCATCAAATAATTAGATAAACCTTTCCAGGCTAACATCGTTCAGTCATGTCTAAATGATTGTTCTCCATTTGCCTTAGATGTCTTACTGATAACCTTGCAAGACCTATCAATCGGTCACTTCAAGTTTATGCTTAGGATTTTTTCATCCATTCTGAGTTGAACACTTCTCACAAGTTCAGTTGTCTCACATGGCATGTCATAGTCAAATGTAATATTCTTTCCTCTACTTGTGGGTATCTTCCATTCTTTAGTTCCACAAAACTGTGGCCATTTGAATATGAATTTGTGGCCATTTTTCTGACTAACATTTGTTCACAGATACTAAATGTCTGTCTTGCTGTTGTTTCTAAGCATTTCTACACACAAAACCCTTGTTTTAATACCAAGTCACACTGTAATCTTCATAAAACCATAAGTAGCAAACCTAATATGTGTAGTACCAATAATTCATGTGACAGAATTAAAATAATATAAACAGCCATGACAATACCTCTGGGTTTGCAGGTAATAATAGCTATATCAGGACTGTCAGCTGGCCAGTTGCTACCAGAGAACACCTTCAAATGTAACACATGCCTCAATCTATAAGTTAAAATAGGTTAAAAAAAGTCTTAGAATTAGGCCTGTCAGCTCACCTGTTCTTCCATCCTTCTGTCTGTCCCTTTCCCTCTTCCTCTCCTTCCTTCCTTCCTCCCCATGTCCAATCTTTCCTGAGCATCCTTTGGCATGACTGGGGACATACAGATTACCAGGCATGCTGTTTACCACCTTGTGGGAAGACAGACAACTAAATAAGTCATTATAGTTAGTGGGGGTGAAGGGTAGGTTAGGGAAAGTATATGGTACCACAACATACAGTAGGGAGCCCACCCAAATTTAGAGCTGTTCAGGCTGAGTCCTTGAAGAGTACGTGGTTAGTGATGGAAGGGGGTATGTGTGAGGTAGAAGGAACAACATGTTTCAAACAACAGGGCAGGGCCTGCCCGAGGAACGGAAGGTATTTCTGCGAGACGAGCTGAGTGTGATGGAGAGACCGGGAGAGACACAGTCAGTTGCACATCTGAGGCAAAACACCTGACATCCGAAGCCTGCTAACTCTGGTCCAGGAGCAAGCAATGGAGATGTGAACATAATTCTGTGATGAGGCTTAATTAGGTGTGAAGTCCGCCATATTCACTGCTTTTTATAAGGTCTGACCAGGGCACTGAATAGGTGAAGGACACGGCCTGTTGGCAGGTGGAGATTGGAAGGGGCCTCTTAGGATGTCCAACACTTTCCACTTTGCCAATTACCTGGTCTACATAGGGTTAGGCTGTAAAATTTGCTAAAGGATGCTGGCTGGCCAAGTAATGACCTGCTACACCGAAATGCAGTGTCACTCCCTTGTCCAGCAGGGATACTTTGCAAGGCCCACCAGAAAGCAGAGTATGAAACCCCACACTCCAGTGCCTCGTCCAACTTAACTAAGCATTTCACACTCTGCAGACATCACTTGTGCAATAGTTAAAGTTCTCCTTCACAGTGTTCACAAACAGAAGATTGATTCTTACCGTAGGCCTCAGCTGTCTCAGCATATGATTTTATTCTTCTTTCCTCAAGTTGAGAACCTTGACCCAAAGTATGGGCACTTCAAAGCTTCTCCTCAGCATATGTGAATTGTGATACCATGACAGCCCGTGCGGTAACTGAGGTGGCTTCTGAGTAGCCAACAGGCCTGGAGAATTTGCAGTGTGGACCTGGTGGGATGCAGTGGGATGGTGAGAGATTTCATCACACATCTCAGAATGGCATGGAATTAAATTTTTTACTCTTGGAATTTTCTAGTTAATATTTACAGACCATAGTTGTCCATAGGTAACAAACTGTTAAAAAAACAACACTGTGGATGGGGGAGGACCAGTGTGTACACAAGGACTTGGAGTCCTTGCTCAGAATGAATCCAACGTAAGAAGTCCAGTGCTTCCCTTTGGTACCAGGTCCACTGCATGAATTGGAAGCTACTCTGAGGAGCACATCTGAGTCCCAGGCTGCATTCTGATGAAGGGGCAGTGCTACACCTCTTACCCAGCATTCAAGTGACCAGCTGTTTTAAATAGGCTCGCCAGAGCAGGATTTAAAATACACAGGCACGTGCTACCTGAGTACTTAAACGGGAGGCTTCCCTGATTTGGAAAGGCTAACTTCACCAGCCTGCCGGCCTTGTAGGGGTCACTCCATTGCTTGGGCAAGATGCTCTGCCTGGCCTGATCCTCTGCTTCTACGTCTTCCTGGACTCTTCCTTCCAGCCACCCTGCAGGTTCTCTCAGTCCTCACCTCCTGCATCTGTTTCTCTCTGTTGTTATTTCTATTAAGCTAGTCCTGACCACAGTATCTTGTATTTCAGTCAGTGCTGTTTTGAATAAGGGACAAATGCTTGGATTTTTAATCATGTCCAAGGACTTGTAAGTTGTCATTTATCCAACATGTTATCTTTTAAAGGACAATGAGGTTCTAAAACATTAAAATGAGGAATTAAAGTGCTACTAATAAAAGGTGAGGAACATAGGCATAGCAGTTTGTTTCCCTGCATAAGGAAATGGTTCAGTGAACCAATATTTACTGAGTTCCGAGTGTGTATCAGCATTTTCTATGTGTAGTAAGTGTGGCGGTTGGTATGCCTGTGCATACTGTAACACAACAGACAAGACCTTTTTCAGATATCATTGCAGGGGCAAAAACACAGAAACCTATCTGGTAAACATTAAATTTCCAAATTGTTTCAAATTCTGGCAAAAATATTTCTTCACAATGTTTATATATTAATTTATAAAGAGGTGATGAGTTGACAATAATTCAATTGTGATTTTTTTCCTAGATGTAATAAAATGCAAGAAGGACAGGAGTCCCTCCAGTCCTCAGCAATGTCCCCTCTGTATGGGTCCCAGAGTCTCCAGAGGCAAGCTCTTTGCTGCGGTCCCAGTCGCAGCTTTCCTGTGTGCGAAGCCAGTCATCGACCCGTCACTGAAATCAAGGCACTTGACTGTTCTGGACGACAGTGCTTCTGCCCACATCTCCCCTCAGGATTTTGTGGCCCCTCTTGGCTCCCTCACTTTGAATATGACAGACCAATCTGGAAATGAAGCTAACATGGTCTGCAGCATCCAAAAGCCCCCGAGAGCCCTGCCCATTGCATTAGCTGAAGAAAACGACCACATCACACTCAATGCACCGTTCTCAACATTCCTGGTGTGCAATGTCGACTACAGTCACATTCAGCCAGTGTGGCAGGTGCTGGCTTTGTACAGTGATGCCCCTCTGATGCTAAAAAAGAGCCACTCGCTCCCTGAAACACCACAGCACAGTTACAGGTATAAACAGGTGGCTGGCAAGCCTGAAGACATTTTTACCAACATAGAGGCTGACCTCAGTGCAAATCCCTCTTGGTTAATGCAAGACCAACTTTCTTTGCAGCTGAACAGAACTACTACTACACTCAGCACATTACAAATCCAGTTCTCAACTGATGCCCAGATCACTTCACCAAGGGCAGAGTTGAGGCCAGAGGAACACAAATGGACCATGATTCAGAGGTTTAACGATACCAAGCTGGAACACACTGTTGTGGCTGGTGGCACCATCACCCTGGAATGCCCAGGCCAAGGAGACCCTGCCCCACACTTGGAGTGGCTTCTAGCTGATGGGAGTAAAGTGAGAGCCCCTTACGTTAGTGGGGACGGACGAATCCTAGTAGACAGAAGTGGACGGTTGGAGCTCCAGATGGCTGACAGTTTTGATACAGGCGTGTACCACTGCATCAGCACTAATTACCACGATGCAGACGTTCTTACCTATAGGGTAACTGTGGTAGAGCCCCACAGAGAAGCCAGTCATGAAAATGGGGCTCATCGCACAGTTTTTATTGGGAAGACACTTGACCTGCCATGCCATTCTGCTGGCGTCCCAGACGCCTCTATTAGCTGGGTTCTTCCAGGAAACACTGTGCTCCATCAGTCTTCAAGAGGCAAGCAAATTCTTGACAATGGCACATTACGAATATTGCAGGTTACCCCAGAAGACCAAGGTCATTATCACTGTGTAGCAGCCAATCCCTCAGGGGTCGATTTTTTGATATTTCAAGTATCAGTTAAGATGAAAGGTCAAAGGCCAGTGGGGCACAGCAGTGAAACAGAGGGATCTGGTGCAGACGAGCCTGGTGACCACTTTCGTGAGCCACCTGTGAAACTCCCCACATCAGCTCCATTGCAGGTTGAGGTTGGAAAACCAGTGTCAAGTATCAGCAAGAAGAGCACTCACAGGGAGTTAACCCAGGGGCAGCGCGGGGAGTCCACAAGCCAGCATTTCAGGAAGCACTGGAGGCAGTTCCTGCCCTCTGCTCGGAGAATTGACCCCCGACACTGGGCAACACTTTTGGAGAAAGCCAAAAAGAGTGCTATGCCAGGGAAACAAGAAAATACCATGGTTTGGCTACCCTCACCAGCCACCCAAGTTATGAAAGGACCTGGGGAGGAAAAGGGTGCTTCTGGGATGCTCTCTCTGGGTGAGGATGGCATGGGTCTGCCAACCCAAGCTTCCAGTGTCCCCGCAAGGACATATGCTGTTGACTCAAGAGCAGTGTCTCATACCATTGTGACAATCACAACTCCCAGCCCAGCAGTGAACCCAGTTGTGAGTCCATACACACCACAAGTGGAAAAAGCTAGATATTTCAAACTGCCTAATGCTATTGAAACTACTGCTACATCAAAGACCATAAGCCCAACTCTATTAAGCAAAATGCAAGACACAACCAACCAAAATTCAACTACCATTTTTCCACCACTCCTTGGAGTAACCGAATTTCGGAACCCCGACCAGATGGAGAGAAGAGGGGAGCCTCTCCAGGGTGCGCTCCCAGTCTCAGGGAGAACTGAGGTCAGAGACATGCAAGTCAATACGCTTAATAGTACTGACAGCAGAGCCAATGCTGTTACTGTCTTACAGTCAGCAAGTGCCACAGGTGGGGGACAGACACCTGTAGCAGGAGTCACAGAAGACAGGAGCGGCCACTTCTACTCTCACAGGACTCAAACACTTCGCACCTCTAGGTTCCGTTCAGACCCACACTCTGCTGATCACTTTCCATTTTGGATTTCTAGAAACAGTACAGCCAAAGTCCCACTGCCCAGGCGCTTTGGGAGATGGAGGAGAATTTGGGGCAGAGGGCGAACTGTCCACCCATACAGAATGCCAGCTGTCCAGCGGCATAGATATGGCATCATGAGGCCAACACTGAAATCTATGGAAGAAAGCACTGCTGCATTTTCAGCTGCAGAGCTGTGTGCAGGGAGCCCATCCTGCCCTCCCTCGAGGCTGCTCATCTCCACCTCAGCAGCACTGTCCTTCCCAGGCTCTCCCTGCAGCGCCCTCCCCAGATCTGACCTTGCCAGGGTCACAACAGAAGAGTCTACAACTCTAGTCCAGAATCCGCCATTATTATTTGAGGACAAACAAAATGTAGATATTGAGAAAACAACACCCACAATGACATACTTCAGTGCGGAGCCTACCCAAGTGGTTCCAGCTGGTGCAATCATGACTCACGCCCCAACACCCGTATCTCTGGGAAAAACTCTCACATCAAATAATGATTTCCCCAGGGTGGCCAGCACCCATGAGGCAAAACGAGATTTGGTGATTACATTGCCACTTTCAGGTCCCCTCACCAAGCCATCGGCACCCACAAGGATAGCCAGTGTGAGATTTTCAAGAAGGAAAATACCCTGGCATCAGATCTTTGCAAATAGCCATAAGCAAAAAGGGACATTAAAGAATGCTTATGTGTTCAGTTTACCAAGAAGCACGGCCACAATGCTTCCCCACACAGCTGGTGCTGTCCACACAGATAAGGACCCCTCCCCTTCCACGGCACCCTCAGCACGTCTGATGGAAACCCCATCTGGGACACTGGCTACAACTCACCACAGTCCCACTGAAACACATGGCCCTACAAGTCTCCCAACCAGAAAGGGGCTGCACTTCCTGCACTTCCCACCCTTCCACCCCCTGCTTCCTACTGCCGCAAGCGGAGAATCGAGTACAGTAAGCTTCCTATCAGTGCCAACTGCCACACTGGTAACACCTACTGCCCCTGCATCTGTCATCATCAATAAAACGCAAACAGCAAGACCCAGAGCACAGAAAGTCCAAAGGATAAAGGAGACTCAGGTGAGCGGGAAGGACCCACGCACCTCTCCAGGACAGAGTTCTGGCTTCGCTCTGTCTGCCGCTGTGACAGCTCCTGTTCTAACTTCAACCAAGCCTGGGGTCTCTGCTTTCACGCCTCCCCACCCAGAGGACACAAGCAAACTTGTGAGCACCTTTGATTTCCATTCAAGAACTACCCCGCTGATGGCTCCCATCCAGGCTCTGCCCCCAGAGAGTGCGTGGACTTGGAGGAGCACAGCTGCTTCTGAAACAGCCATACCCAGCAGATCCCAGGAGGGCACCACAGCCCCTCCAGTGCCCATCCCTACCTCCCCCACCTTTCCCCAAAGCCCAGTTCCTGACAACTTAGCGATGCTGGTTTCCGAACTGACAGATAAGATGGTCAAACTACAACAATTCCCAAGGAGCGAGGCAAAACCATTGCGGTCTGCAGCCAAGCTTGCAACACCTCCCGAGGTTGACCCTGATGCTGAGGTCGCAGCTGGACCCACTCCCTCCCCCTACTCCAGAGTGGGACACTCGGCTCCTGGGCCAGCACTGAGAACAGTTGAGTCCCAGGACCCCACGGAGATGCCTGCTTTACAACCAAAAAACCATTTTTGGCACAAGTCATACCCAGAAACTGCCAGAGAGGGCAAAAAACCTGTGGTGGGCATGCTGCTCCCTCTCAGCTTGCCTGAGTCCCCCTCTCGTGCTTCAAATTGGGGTGGGCAGAATGCAAAGAAGAGTGGCTTTGATATGAAACTGGTTCAAAAGCCACTGCCCACGCTCTCTCCCTCTGACGCTCTGTCAGGGACTGCACTAGAAAAGCCCAGGATGGTTGGGGGAAGAGCTGCAAGTTTCACTGTCTCAGCCGATGCCGAGGCCTTTCTGCCCTGTGAGGCCGTTGGAAACCCGCCACCCTCCATCCACTGGACCAGAGTCTTCTCAGGTATTTGAAACTGTTTTCTTTTTCCAGCAGTACTGGATTTTGAACTCAGGACCTGAAACTTGCTAGGCAGTTGCTCTACCACTTGAGCTATGCCTGCAGCCCTTTTTGCTTTAGGTTATTTTTCAGATAGGGTCTTGTGTTTTTGCCTGGGGCTGTCTTTGGACTACCATCCTCCTACCTACTTCCCATGTGGCTTGTTGGTTGAGATGGGGGTCTAACTTTTTTCCCAGGTTGGTCTTGAACTGTGTGATCCTCAACCCCTCACGAGTAGCAGGATTACAGGCATGAGACACGGCGTTCTGTCCTAAAAGTGTTTCTTTACAGCTAGTCTGCCTTAATTATAAAACAAAGGAAACATTGTGCTGTATTTCAGGGTTATATCTCCAAAGAATCACTTTTGGAGACAAAATACAGATTCCATTAAAATCCTCTTTTGACATCTGTATACTTTTTTCTCATTAGAAGGTTTGGAAATATGTTAATTAAGAACAATGTTTGAAACATTTGAAGGTAATTCCAAACAAATATGATTGCAAAAAGAATGGTCATTGTGTTGACCTATCTTTTAAATCTAAATTATGTGAATAAAAGAATTCAGAAATAACTTAGCAATCTGAGGACCATATGTTTTCATTTTAAACATACCTTAGCAAAAAGATTGCTTTATATCATTTTTACCTGAACTTTGATGACCTATGGCCACATACCTCTTTCTTATCAGGACTTGAGCTTTCCAAAAAGACCCAGAGTGGCAGGTTCCGTGTGCTCCCCAACGGCACCTTGTCCATCCAGAGGGTCAGCATTCAGGACCGTGGACAGTACCTGTGCTTGGCATCCAGCCCACTGGGCACAGACCGCCTTCACATCACCTTGTCTGTGGTGTCCTACCCACCCCAGATCCTGGACAGACATACCAAAGAGATCACCATTCATTCTGGAAGCACTGTGGAACTGAGGTGTAGAGCGGAAGGCAGGCCAAGCCCTACAATTGCCTGGATTCTCGCGAACCGAACGGTGGTCTTGCCGTCCGAGGAAAAGAGGACGGCCACGGTGACACCTGAGGGAACACTGGTCATCCACAGTCTGAGCATCTACGACCGTGGCCTTTACAAATGCGTGGCCAGCAACTCAGCTGGCCAGGACTCACTGCTGGTTAGAATACAGGTCATCGCAGCCCCTCCTGCTATTCTGGAGTCCAAGAGACAGGTCATCGCAGGGACGCAGGGTGAAGGTTTGCAGCTTGCCTGCACTGCAAAAGGAACACCTCAGCCCAGTGTGCACTGGGTCCTCCCTGATGGCACCGAAGTCAAAGCGCCACAGCTTGCTAACTCCAAGTTTCAACTGCAGTCAAATGGGACTCTGTACATAAGAGATGTTGTCACTTCAGACCGAGGCACCTATGAGTGTATTGCTACCAGCTCCACGGGCTCAGAGAGAAGGGTGGTGATTCTCACAGTGGAAAAGCAAGAGACCCTCCCCACAATCGAAGCCGCCTCCCAGAAGTGGACTGAGGTGAATTTCGGGGACAAATTGCTACTGAACTGCTCAGCTACGGGGGAGCCCAAACCCAGAATAATCTGGAGGTTACCATCCAAGGCTGTCATCGACCAGTGGCACAGGTAACCTTTTCTGTTGGAATTATCTGCTTAACTATTTATAGCTGTACAACTTCTTGAAATGGGGAAAATGAGGTAGCAAGGCCAGCAGCAGTGTAGAGAGAACCAGACTCTGCACACAGAGGTAGCTCGCTCTAATGAAATTCAGTCCACTTGAGATCATATGACAGCTGAACCCCAAGGGGCAAGTTACTGAGTTCTTATGGGCAAAGCACAGGAAGACCTCCTCTGCCTCCATGCTGTGAATGCCCCGTGCGCTGACGACAAGAACGTTCTGTGTTGTCTGCGTGTTCCTAACCCTCCTCTACACTTAGGAATATGGCCATGATCTACTTTTTAACACTTTCATTTAGTCTAGTCCTGGAAGTCCTAGCAAGAGCAAGTAGGCAACAAAACAAAACAAAAACAACTAAAGGCTATCCAAAACGGACAGGAGAAAATGACATGATCTGTGTTTACAGATGATTAATACAGAGAAAAGCTTAAGTATGCCATAAAAAAACCCTCAATTTAAGCAAATTCAGTAGAGTTGAAACACACAAAAGGATACCCACAATAAACTTGCTTTTTAAAAAAAGCAATTACTAAAGCAACCCCATTCACAATTGCTACAAATCCCCCAAAATATTTAGGAATAAAGTTAATGTAAGAACTCAAAGATCTCTACCCTGAAAATTTTAAAACACTGATGAAAGAAACTGTGAGGACACAAAAATGGAATGATATCTGCATTCATGGATCAGAAGAATCACTGCCCAAAATGATCTATAGATTCAAAGAGGTGAAAATGCTTATTCTCTGGCTTATTACACAGGGTATTCATGCATCAAATAGTAAAATGCACCCCATAAAGATGCACAAATATTATGTCTCCATAACAAGTAATCAGACGGGTTGCGATGTATCAGTGGTTGAGTGCTTGCCTAGCACACAGTGGCCCTGGGTCTGATCTCCAGCACCAAAACAGAAAAGATCAGATGACCAAAAATGCTTTTCAAAGTTAGTGGAAAGCCGTACCCTCTCCACCCCTTCTGAAGCACCGCTTCCCGGCTGCCTGTGCACGGGCTCCACTGGGGGTCTTGGAAGGTAGGAAGGTACCAACTGCCAGCTCTGAGTTGACAACCCGGGTCCATGTGGGATGTCAAAGGTGAGAGGTAGACTAGCAGTGCAGGGTCTGGGATCATCAAAAAATCCACACTTTTTGGTTCAGCTAACAAGCAGGTTTAATTAAGAAAATGAAAGGGGTTTCCTTATTTTATGTACATCACAACTGTGATGCAAGATCCCATTTTTAGCATCTAAGTTCAAACTTCTAATGCTAAAAGTGAGGAGCAAACGATTATTTGGGAGTTTGTCCTGTTCTGCCATGGAAGTGCTTTTCTTTCCGCTGACGTGCTTACAAAACCCAAGTAAAAAAGAGTTCAATGTGTTTTCCAGCACTTCAGACACCCTGTGGACTCAGGTTCAGACTGAGACCCTCCTGTCTATGCCTCCCATGTACCTGGGATAATAGGTACAAGCCACAATCCCCAGCCTCTAGTACTTTCTTATATTCACGTATTTTCATGTTTGGAGGTTCTCTCCTGGATCTGGTGTGAGGCCCCCTTATGCTTCTGTTGAAGGGCTGGTCTGGTGGTGGTGAATTCCATCAGTTTCTGTTTACCAGCAAAACATTTATCTTGAAGGACAATTTTGCTGTGTATACTTGCAGTTTTTTCTTTCAATATTTTTAATATATTACCCCATCCTCTTCTGGCCTGGGGGGCTTTTGCCAGATGTTCTGAGACATCTGTGTAAGTCTAATTCCCTTGTGGGTGAGCTGATGCTGTCCTCTGGTTGTTTTTAGGATTCTGCGTGTACTTTTGAAAGTTTGACTTTAATATCCTTGATGAGGTCTGTTTGCTTGAGTTGGGTCCTCTGAGCTGCTTGGATATAGAAGTCCACACACCTTGAGGACTGGGAAGTTTGGGAGATCCCAAGTCATTCCCTTTCTTTACCTTCTGGATGGAAATGTCTGCTTGCTCCATGATGTCCCATGCCCCTTCCAGCCTTGTGGAGTATTGTTTGCAGGCAACGCATCTCCCTGGATGGGGTGTAGGAAGCCCACGGGATCAGTGCTTTGGGTTTGTGTGTAGTTTCTTGGGCTTTGGTGTGAGCACCCTGTGAGGCTTCCACAGTCCAGACTGCAGTAGTTGTTGCCCAGCTTTGCAGAGGACATGGGCGTCCGAGGCGTGTCCTTGACAATGATGACAGTCGGGCTGTGAGGAGGTCTTCCCTATGTCCTGCTGGGTGAGTGCAGGTGGCGGCAGGGCCAGGTATTTCTGAAGCTGCCAGGACCTAGCTAGGAGTTTTCCCACCTCCCAATGGCCATGCACAGGTGAAGCCAAGACTGCACAGTAGCTACTGTCCCAGGGCTGGAATGGGGGGAAGAGACCTTCCTGAGTGCCCACAGGACAAGTGCAGGTGGGACCCAGGCTACAGTTGCGGAAGCCACTGGTCCTGAGGCATGGCTCATAGCTCCATCCTGTGAGCTCTGCCCATCCCTAGGCCGTGTCAGGGACCCCTAGGGTAAGGCCCACAGCAACTTCCTTCTTTGCAGGGCAGTCACTCTAGGACCAGCCAGACGTGTGGGGTTGTCTGTAGCATGACTGCCACCACTGGGGCTGTTGGTGCTTTCCTGCCCACTGTGACTGGGAACTGGGTTGAAGTGGCTGAGTTCTTTTCTCTTGGTTGCCTTTCTGACGCTGTGCTGTTCAAGGTTCCTGAGTTCTCCCCTGCTCTGTGACAGTCACACGCAGAGTACCTGTATTCAGACATCTTGGCTGCATTCTCTCTGCATGCATTTCCATGAAGAATGCTATTTAACTCAGAGAAACTTCTTACAAAAGTCAATTCTCTCAAAAATGGGTTCACAAAAAATAGCTGTAATTATGTTACACATTGCCTTTTTTACACAATGTTACAACATCCAGTTGTGGGGGAATCAAGGGTGTCACTCTAAACTGGTGGTTCTCAAAGGGGAGTCCCCTACCAGCAGCATCAGAGTTGCCTGAGAACTTGATCAGGATCGCGATTCTGTATGACAACCTGCGTTCTTAGAAGTCCTCCAGGGGATTTCGTGTGCACTACAATCTGAACTTGGTTCTCAAACTTGTGATCACAACTCACCTGGGAAGTCTGCTAAACAATGGGTCCCTGGCCAGATCTACTGAATGAGAATCTTTGGATGGTGACACTTTCCGTATTAATGTACCATGACTTAGGGGAACTGCACTGAGAACCAACTTTCAGGGCAGGAACTCTCAGGCTTCACTGCCCGCAATAGGTAGCTGGCACCTTCTAAAAATCCTGATGCCTAAGCACACCTCACCCCAGGTACATCAGACCTCCTGCACATGGGACCCAGGCTGAGTTTTAAGCTCCACAAGTGATTTTAAAGTGCAGCTACATTTGAGAATCAATGCTTCTAGAAAGCATTAGAAAATAACAGCAGCAGGTAATTATGTAACATGGGGAAGAACACCAGGCTCCCCAAGAGTGAAAATGAGTTATTGGGTCTATGTAAATATCAGTTCTCAGCTGAACAATGGGGGAAACTCTTTGAGATAATCTGGGCAAAGCCCTGGCAGTTTCCTCCCCCTTCATCACTGTGGTCCATAATGATGATCTGCCTTGGCTTCTTTGCCAGGAAATTCTTTTTACGCTTTAGGAGAACAAAAGGAGCCCCTCTTATGATGTCCTACGTACAATGCTTGCCAAACCTTGCAAGGTTGCTAGAAAAATCACTTGGTTTGGCTATGTTATGAGAAGGGGTCCTCCCTCTTCTATTTCATCTGTCTGCTCAGCCCACAAGGCCAAAAAGAAGAAAAACATACACGCAGATTCTCGCCTATGGGTGTTTTCCTGTCTGAAAAACTAGATTACTTTTGCCAGGGCTGCTCTGCCATCTGGTGGTGCGATGTGGTATCGGCAAGCTTTAGAGCTGCCAGGTTACGGTGAGCTGCTTTAGGTTGCTCTCCTCTCTCTCTTTAGAACAAGATAGTAGTTTCTAATCAAATAATTCAATAATTACTTTATTACTAAGACTTCTTAAAGTGTAATGAGTGTGTACAAAAGTTATCTTTATCAAAATATGTAACACAAATGATCATTTTTGTGGACCCATTAGCTTGATATGTAAAACTGACAAGTCATGGGGAAGGCACTGAGGTTGAAATGCTGCTCTCACCATTGAAATGTTTTTACAGTCACCACATAAAAGATTAATTTGAATTCCACCTCAGAAATACCACTTGTTTTCAGTAAGTTATGCCTAGAAAATGTCAACAATAGGCTAGAATGGACTTAAGAAAACATCCATAAAACACATGAATCACACACACAGAGTTACATGCAGTGACAGGCAGGTAGGTGTGGCTGTGGAAATCACGTCAACATGTGGCCATCAAAACATGCACACCTTATGTTTAAGTGATTTGTGTCAATCACGCCTCAGTAATGCTTGGGGGGGGGGCGGTGCTGATCCAATATAAATAAGACAATCATAACTAAAATTGCCGATTTTTTCAAAAACCATTAAACAAGGTGAACAGCTGCACACTCAAAATTTGTCTTTTCTTCTTAGAATGGGCAGTCAAATCCATGTCTATCCAAATGGATCCCTGTTTATTGCATCAGTCACAGAAAAAGATGGCGGGGACTACTTGTGTGTGGCAAGAAACAGAATGGGTGATGATTTCACCCTGATGCATGTCAGCCTCCAGCTGAAACCCGCCAAGATTGACCACAAGCAGCATATCAGAAAGCAGGTGCTCCACGGGAAGGAATTCCACGTTGACTGCAAAGCTTCTGGCTCCCCAGTGCCCCAGATATCCTGGAGTCTGCCCGATGGGACAATGATAAACGCTATGCAAGCGGATGACAGTGGCCGCAGGACCAAGAGGTATACCCTTTTTGACAATGGCACCCTGTATTTCAACAAAGTTGGGATCGCAGAAGAAGGAGATTACACCTGCTATGCCCAGAACACCCTTGGGAAGGATGAGATGAAGGTTCACCTCACAGTTGTAACAGCTGCCCCAAGGATAAGGCAGGGTTACACAACCAACAGAAGAGTCAATGCTGGAGCCACAGCTGTCCTGGACTGCGAGGTCATTGGGGAACCCACACCAAGCATGTTTTGGTTGCTGCCTTCCAGCAACAGGATTTCATTTTCCAGAGGCAGGCACACGTTTCATGCCAACGGGTCTCTGTCCATCCACAAAGTGAGCCTGCAAGATTCCGGAGAGTATGTGTGTGTGGCCCGAAATCCCAGTGGGGATGACACCAAGACATACAGACTGGAAGTGGTCTCCACGCCACCAGTAATCAATGGTCTGTACACAAACAGAACTGTGATTAGAGCCACCGCTGTGAGGCACTCCAAGAAACACTTTGCCTGCAGCGCTGAAGGAACGCCAGCATCTCAGATCACATGGGTCGTGCCGGGCGGTGTTCCCCTTGCAGCTCCATACTATGGAAGCAGAATCACAGTCCATAAGAATGGAACCTTGGAGATCCGGAACGTGAGGCCTTCAGACTCAGCCGACTTTGTCTGTGTCGCTCGGAATGAGGCTGGCGAGAGTGTGCTGGTGGTGCGGCTGGAGGTACAGGAGATGCTGCGGAGACCGACGTTCAGGAACCCGTTCAACGAGAAGGTGGTCGCCCAGCTGGGAAAGCCCACCACGCTGACCTGCTCTGTGGATGGCAATCCGCCACCAGAAATGATCTGGATTCTACCCAATGGCACGCGGTTTTCCAACGGACTGCAGAACTCCGAGTATCTGACAGCAAGCAATGGGTCTCTTGTCATTTCCAGAACAACTAGGAGCAGTGCTGGAAAGTACCGGTGTGCAGCTAGAAACCAAGTGGGCTACATTGAGAAACTGATCGTTTTAGAAATCGGGCAGAAGCCAGTCATCCTTACGCACGCACAAGGGACAGTAAGATGTATTAGTGGGGAATCTCTGGCATTGCATTGTGTGTCTGATGGAATCCCTAAGCCCCATGTCCAGTGGGCCACACCCAGTGGTTACATACTAGATAGGACTCAAGTTAATGGAAAATACACATTGCACGAAAATGGCACCTTAGCCATCAAAGCAGCCACAGCTTACGACAGAGGAAATTACATTTGCAAGGCTCAAAACAGTGTTGGCCATGCAATGATCACAGTTCCAGTAATGATTGTGGCCTACCCTCCCCGAATCACAAAGCGCCCACCCAGGAGCATCTTCACAAGGACAGGAGCGGCCTTTCAGCTCCACTGTATGGCCCTGGGAGTCCCCAAGCCAGAAGTCACGTGGGAGAGGCCTGACCACTCTCTGCTTTCAAGGGCAAGTAAGGGAAGGGCCCATGGAAGTGAGCTGCTTCACCCACAAGGGACACTGGTCATTCAGGATCCCCAAACCGCAGATTCTGGGTTATACAAATGCACAGCAAAGAACCCACTTGGTAGTGATTATGCCACAACTTATATCCAAGTCATCTGACATGGAGTAACATTAAAATAAAGTCAACATCTGATCAGAGTTTATTTTTTGGAAGAAGTTTAATAAGAAGCAGCCAAAGGCATGTAGATGAATTTGAGTTACTTTTACAGTATCAGCTTCACAATGGACATGCAAAAAAAGACATGAATAAATGCATTATAAACTGATTGTTTTAATGGATCTCAATACAAGTGTTTAACTTAAGGCACTTTTATTTTGCCAACAAATAAGAGAAAGTGGTCCACTACAAAACAACAAAGGCTACTGCACCTGAATTTCAGTTAGGAATCGGTTTTCCTCTGCAACCCATTGCCTGGCTCCATCCTTTACCTACGTTGCCAGCACAGCACTTGGACCAGAGACAATGAAGACTAAATGCTCAAGCTCTGTAAAACTGCCGTCTAAATGTATAAAGATTTTATAAAGCCTGCAGAAAATAAGCACTGAACTGTTCTGATTAGGACTTACCATTTATTCACACTGAAATTTTCACTGATGGGAAATACAAAAATGTTTTCATAACTGCATTTAAAAACAAATGCAGGCTAACTTTTCCCACATGTAAAAAGCAACCCAACACTTGCACATAATAAAATGTGAAAAGGGATTGATTACATTTGTCCAAATACGCTCATTAAAAAGGTTTTAAAAATGCAATGAAACTCCCTTATAACTTTAAAACCCTAGCCCAGGCACCCCTGGTTTGAAGCTGTTTATAAAGAAAGTTGCTTTACAAGCATTTTCTTTCATTAAATAATTCTTTATGCAGTGGAAAAATGTTTGGGTGAGTCTAGATCTATTATATATAATGAAGTTTCAGTGTATTTAAATTTGATCAATCCTACACAAAATATTAAGGTTAACTCAATGTATTTATATCACACATTTAATTCAGCCTGAATTAATTTGGGGGATACCACAGGATTCATTTTTTTCCCCCTAATTGTAGATCTGGGATTTTCCAGTGTAAGTCCTCCAGCTTCTATTCATCTACTCACCTATCATTTAGGAATTACAGGAGACTTGCAAATTTAAAGAAAAATGCTGTCAGTCTTGTTCAGATTGCCAATCATCTGAGACAGGAGGGAGAAGAATGTCCATGTGTTCTTAGAGAAGCAACTGTCAGCAACCCTGCCCCATGTTGTGTCAGCGGTCACCTGATCTCTACTTCTGGAGCAGTAAAGGTAAAAACAAATGCAGCCCTATTAGGGCTGAGCCTACATGTAAACAGATATATTTAAGGGCGTCTTAGAGGAATTATGAGAGGTGTCCCCAACTCCATCAGATTTCAAGGTCTTATCTTTAAGGGGAGCTGGGGGGGGTCCCTAAAATAATTACCTTTCTACAATTCACCAAGAAAGTCACCAGGTTCTGCTATGGGGCTTTCCTTGTGACACTTTAATGCACACTAACACATTTGCTAAAAAAAAAAAAAAAAAAAAAAAAAGTCTTCCAGGATAGCAAATTAACTGAGAGGAAATGTGATGACTAAGTTAAAAAAAACTCCAGTTGTTCTCCTTCAAATGCACAGTGGAAAAACAGCTCTAGTTTTTTTCTAACTCTTCCACAGTGTGTAGGAATTTTAGGGCCTTACCATGACTTATCTTCCTCACCTTAAAGCAATAAAAAAACAAAAACAAATGACCACAACAAAGGTGTATCCCACAGATTTCCTGTGCAAAATGAGTAATAAATTTGCTCACGCAAAGTGTAAGATGCATATCAAAACTATACCATTACAACACTCCTTCCAGACAGTGTTACTGCTGTTTACAATATTCAGCTACAAAAAGAAGTCTTTCAAACTGAAGATGGTAATTCCAACTACCAATCTGTAACAAGAAACCAACGGGAAGGGTCAGGACTTGCTTACTAGGCACAACATTTATGGTCTGGAGGTGTCTAATGCATCAAATGGTGGAGTATGCTGGAGGAAAATAACTTCATAAGCCATAAAGGGGGATGCTTGTGAGGAAAACAAACACGATACAAAACCAGCTGAAATGTGAAGAATGTTACTTTATGGAAAAGAAAGGTCTGTGATGTTTTGGCAAAGTCTTTTCCAGTCCTAAGTGAACAGGAAGGAGCACTGGAGAAGTAGTTCACAGTGTACATGGATAACGCACAGAAAAGTGAGCTGACACGGGTCTGAGGTCAAACTGCAGTGAGGATATAAACCATCTACACAATGATTTGCAAGAGAAGTGGTCTCAAGTTGTACTAGCTACATTCAAAATAAGTAGCTCGACATGGTTTGCTCAGTGTAGACAAGTCTGTTCACAGGGTGCTTGATCACATTACACGTAAAATCATAAGGCAAGAAGAAAATGAATGAACAGAACTTGGGAAAATATCCCACAGGTTGTAAAATGCCCTGCAATTTTCACATTCAAAATTTTATGCATCTAAATCTAAAAAAATATTATATGGAATACTCTCAAGTTACACAAACTGGTAATAATTTACTGTATGGTTTTACTCTAATAGGAGCAAATTACCACATACTTGAACAAAGTTAAAATAGTTACTATTTCTTTATAATAAATTTGATGTATAATTTACTTTGTGCTTTTTGCACCAATTTATAAATACAGTATATGCAATACACAACCAAGACTGACACCAACATTAATTATTAAATTCAGAATAGCAAATACTTACCATACAAAATAAAGAGTAAATACACATTTTGTGAAAACCAGACCCTTTTGGACAGGTGGGGGACCAGAGCCTCTGGAAACCATGTCAAGTGTGAGTACTGTGGAATCTCAGACTGCCACAAGGGTTTTTTGTCAAATGACATAATGTTCTGGAGAACTAAAACTTGACAGTCATTTTTGCCCACACGGGCAGCAAATAAACAGAATGGTTCCACTGGGTGTTTTCCAGGCCTTTGGAGTTACTATGGAACCTCCACGCAGACTTTGGTCTACGCTCTTGCCACTGGAAAAATCTGAGTGCAGCTGCTCCTCCTCACGGGCCTACGTGTCGCGGAGTGGCCCTCCAGGAAACTTGAAGAAGTACTAAGCAACAATCTGTTTCAGCACCTTTGACCACAACAAAAGCAAGGTCCTACATAAGTAAGAACAAAGTTTATAAAGTGCTTATGAAATTGCAAACACTTCAAATCACAGCAGTGCAGATAAAAGTCGTCATCCCAGGCAAGTGCGGAGCGATCGGGTCACTTCTCTGAAAGATCCAACATACCCTTCAAGTCAGTGGTTTGGTCTGCCACAGTTTTGGAAAAAGCAAAATGAAAGAACCTCTCATCATTAATGAATACAGGGATATTTCAGCCCACCATAATTCATTCTCTTGGTAAATGAGATTCAGAAACAAAAGCACCAATTTCAGAGGTCAGCTCACACACTCCTCTGCGGTAGGTCTGCATGATACATGTTTTGAGTCTACTTTAAAGTCAATTGTGACAAAATGAAACCACAACTTCTCTGTCACTTTTTGTTTAAATACCTTTGTATGAAATATAGCATAAATATTGGAAAAGAGCAAAGAAATGAAAGACAGAAGGGACATTTCTCAGGATGACTGATTCATTAAATTTCCTTTTCTATTTTTCAGTGCAAACATAAAAGCATGTCTTCTCTTCCACATTCAGAAGTGCGGAGGGTGTCCATAGGGAGTCACTCCTTGCTGTGGCTGGTTACCTAATGAGAAGAAATTCAAGTAAAAATCACAGGTGCAGAATGCAGCAACAGACAAGGCTTCCCGCTCGTCACTGCTCTCGGTAGGGCCTCAGGTATAATGGAACAGACCAACTGCCAGAGCACAGCACTAGTCCTAAAGGGTCCTGATGCAGGATCCAAGTATTGTCACCAAATTCACAGGACAGTCCCATACTTGCCAAGGCAAGGCCTTAGGGATTAGAGTAAGTGGCCCGCTCCAAGAGTCTCCCTCAGAACAAAGAAATAACTGAAAGTTTCATTTTGAGAGTTGAAAGCTCTCAAAATGTGTATACAAGTAGTTCAGCAATTCTGCTTTAACAGTGATATTATAAAAGGTGAGAAAATTACCTTGCAATGGGCACCTTTCTGCAAATGATCGTACGAATTGTACATGCGTGTATGTACATGTGTGCGAGCTGTCTATATGTGTGGACTTACGTGTATGCCTGGGCACATGTGAACAAGCACACAGAAAAAAATAAAGAATGGTTGACGGACACCAAAAATGGCAGACTTAGAAACAGCAATTACTTGCATGCCTCTGGACTGTTTAAATGCAAGTCACAATATAAAGGCTGTGTGGCTGAAGGGTGGCAACTACACTGTCTCCACCAAAGAGTGGGGACAGCAACAACCCGATCTCTGGGGCTGTTTCAGAATTAAGTGCGCTAACACATGCAAGTCACAGTTGCAGGACCGAGAAAGTGGTTGACACCCAATGGACCTATCAGCAGCTGCAGTCCTTGGATGATGGCAGACAGTAAATAAGAGCAGATGTGCTCCACAGTAGCTGTACTTCTAAATACAGGGGAAAAATCTCTGCCTTCCCCCCAACCTGGTATTCACTCTGCCCCTCAGACCCAGGGGAACCAGCTGTCTCCTCCTCTCCGCACAGATGAAAAACTACAAGGTTCAGGGAAGGTAGCCCAGTCAGCACAAGAGTGTAGGTCTACTGACTCAGGGCCAGGATGCTTGGCATGGGGGTTACCATTTCTAAAAGGACTTGTCATCCTGCAACTCCAGCACAGGAGGGACTAGATTCAGGGGAATGCAGCTTGGGCACCAGGGTGAGGGATGAAGGGTGAGCCAGCTGCAGGCAACAGAGCAGGCCATCTGCAATGCTGCAGGTTTGGGCTTCTCTGGGACATGATTAGGATGGGGACAGTGCAGGGTAAAGGACAGCCACTGTTGAGTGCTGGCCTCCAGGTACCCAGCTAATCTTACTCTCTGCATAATGAAGGGTCAGGGCTCCAGGGAGGCCCTAGGTTCTGTCCTTAGCACTGCAAGACAAAACCGAACCAGGATACCTGTCCTTTCACAGGGGTCCCCAGAAGAAAAGAAACATTTCCACGGCCACTGAATTTAAGAAAAAGATTGGGACTTCTCCAGGAAAGGAGGTATTTAAACCCAAACCCAAACAGAATGCCCTGGACAAAAACAAATGTGAATGGTGCGGAGGACACAGTGCCACTTGCTGCTGCTTTCCTGGTGCCACCAGCTCTGTTGGGCAGGGTACTTACTAGACAGCTGTTTCTGGAGCTGCCGCACCAAGGCGGCCGTCTGCTGCTGCTGCTGGGTCTGCTGCAAGCCTTGCCTGGGGAACTGCAAGTGCAACAGGAAAAAGGATGAGTCAGCCTTGGGCCACACCTGGGTCAGAAAGCCTGTCATGCACAGGCTGCAAGCAAAGGCACTGTGCCCTTTGCACACAGGTTGGTTTTCATCTACACCCTGGTAGACACCAGTAAATAACTGAGGTGCCCCACCTATTCAGGGACCCACACTGAGCAGTGGGTGGCCTTTACTTAGGGGTCCTGGTGAAAGAAGGGTCCACACTCTGGCAGTTCAAAGACCTTTGTCACCTAGCCCTTCTCCAGTTGGCTACTAAGTGTCCCAATATCATGAGCTGTTTTTGTTGGCAAAATGAAAACTCCCCAGGCAGGGGATTTGTTCAACTCTAGAGACCTTGCTGCATGGGGGAAAGAATCTGGTGGGCAGAGCAGGGCCGCAGTGAGGGCTCATCTAGGACTCACCTCCCAGCTGACAGAGCGAGGTGGGGAAGCTCACTGCCAGGGCCATGTGTGCGGGGTCTGTAGGAAGAATCAGGCCTGAGGAGCAACACAGGCAGCTATTCCCTGGTTCTAGCCATTAAGTTGATACAGGAAATTGTGGCGGTTACGCCAGTGAGAGAGAAAAATCAGTGTGTGGTAGAAGCAAAACCTCTTTTGATCAGAGTCACTGGTGGCACCAACGTCAGACTTACTTTTCCTCCCCCAGACCCCTTCTTTCTGCCTGGCTCAGTTTCTCTGTAATAAAGGAGTCCCCTGATGCAGCCTTTCTCTGTCACACACTCAGCACTGCACTGTGCTGTGAGCCTTGGTCTGCCTGTGCAGGGGCCTCCCAGGAGTCCGGAGGGAGGAACAGAGCTAAGCTTTGTTGTCTTCTGGTTTTGCCGATGTCCTCCACGGTGGGTCTCTCTTCCTGGACAGCTCCTGTCAGGGGCCAGGACTCCCCACCTCCCTTCTGGCCCACAGGGCTTTGGTGCCTCTCTCACATCCTCACCGGGGTTTCCTGAGCCTGTCTCCTGTCTTTGAGGCTTTTTAAAGAACATCATCCTCAATTAACCCAACATGAACACAGTATCCCTCTCCTCAGAACTGGACAGTGTGATTGACATGAGAATAGCCCAGGATTACACATAGGGTCACCAGGAGATAAAAACACAGAATGCCCAGCTAAATGTGAATTTCTGATAACAATGAATAACTGTTTCAGGTCACATACTGCACTCAGCCTAAGTATGTCCATCGTAACGTGTGAGGTGTACAAATATTCACTGCTCACCTGAAACTCACGTGTAATTAGGAATTCTGTATTTTATCTGACAATCCTAATTAGAGGCATTACCAGGATGACTCTAGTAAAACTGAGTATTTGTCACCACACCTGGCTCATCCGTTTTTCTACCTCTAGCCAGTGAGTCACGTGAGGACAAGACTGGGCCTTTTCATGGATGTGCCCCTAGCATCTAGCTCAGCCACAGAAAAATATAAAAAAAAATAATAATAAAGATGAATGGATCAGAGGCATGCCTAACCCTGCAGTGACTTCAGTTCCCACCACCCTCTCCACCAGTGTTGCTGTTTCCACTATGCAAACAAAGCAGGGATATCACAGCTCCCCACCTTCTATTGTCCAAATTAAGAGGGAAAAACCGAAAAAAATCGATTTATGTGGAGAAGCCAGTAAAGTGGTGCTTTCTCCACAATTCAACTGTTTCTCTGCTTGTTCAGAAAAATTACCCTAGCCATGCAACCTCTCAAGTTCTTCCACCAAAAATCCAGCAACATGGTCCAGTGCTGCCACCTGCAATCCCTATGAAGCAAGGCCCTCTGGAAGCAGGGACATGCTTGGTGTGCCCCAGCGTGCTCCATAGTGGGTGGGGTGCTAGTCTCTATGGCACACACTATGCAAACACTTGCTGAATGCAACTGTGACCATCAGCTGACTGAGCAGCTGAGCAAGTCAGGAGCGGTGGCTGTGTCACCAACACCTGGCCTCCCTTGGTTAGACAGGTATCAACCAAGGTTGAATCAGTGCTCATCGCTCCTCACAGCCACTAGCCTTCCTCTGCTGACCAGGAGCAGGAACTGGATCTGCTGGAGAGGTTTACAACAAATACGAAGGCAGATCTTAGGGGGACTAATAAGGAAAGGAGCGAAGATAACAGAAGGTAAAAGGAAATGCAAAACTTTTCTTAAAATTGCCAAGGCTGTGAGCTATTGTTGCTATAAAGACGTATAAATTAGGGAGCTTTTTTCTTGTACTTCTATTGTGAGAGGAAGACAGTAGCCTCAGCAGTGCTATGGCTGAATCTGGCAAAAGTCTGCCTGCGGTGGCAGAGCAATAAAAGCGGGCAACTCGCAGCTGCTCACAAGGACAAACGTGGCCGCATCACAAACTTGAAAGTCTACACATCAAGTACGCCAAGTCAAAGTATACCTCAAAAGATTTACTGACCTTCCTGTAACTTCTAATTCTGAAACCTAACATTCTCCGTCTAAACACTTTAAGTTTTAAAAACATTTTAAATTTCCTAGGCTGTCTTAAAACTTTGGACTACAATTGCTGCTTAGATTACAAAACAGTGCTCTAAATATAAGACACCGTGCTTCTTAAAGGACCATTCAAAGCCTTTAGCAAAAAAGAAAAAAAAAAAACTGTACAAAACCTACTGTCCATTAAAATGACCACAAATGAAGGTTTCCCCTCCGTCTGCACAGTGAGCAGACGGCCGCATGCCGTGACCTGAGAAGCTGCTCAATCACCGGCTGGTTGCCTGTTAAGCCAGTGAGTGAAAAACCCACCTTAGAAGTGAGTGCCACCAATATTTACACACACCACATTTCTCACACAGTCCCACAGCTATCAGACGAGTAAGCCCCGCTTCTGAGGTCTGCCTTCGTTTTAGGGGACCACGGGAATGCATGCCATCACTAGGAATTTTGAGGACAATTTCTGCCTGGGTTCTAATACACCCAGTTTTGTAGCAGAATCAAAATGTTTTTTGTTTACCCTACACAAAAAGTAACTATTACATTTCAGGTATTTGGCACTGATACTCACGTGTAATCATGTAGCATGGCTCTCTAAGAATAAAAATTACTTTTATACCATAATAAGTATTTTATGTATTTTTCATGTATTATGCTATAAAACTAAAGTAAGATTAGTAACAGGTGACTAAAAAGCCAAAGAAAAAGACTAGTGGGAAAGTTCCTGCTAATGTTTGGTCAATTACAAGTGTTGATCTAAGTTTTTTGTTGAAATTATTAACTATTTTAATGAGGATATGTGACCACAAATGAAAGCCAAGTCTTCTCAAAAGTAACACAGTCTTAGCATGGCAGTTATACATTTGTGTGATTAAATGTGTAAATTTTAAACATATAGAAAAGATTTATAGATTAAACATAAAGCTAAATGCATAAACAAAGATTTTATTTATCTATGAGCACCTATTGCCTATATTTCATATATGCAAAATTTACAAATCTGAATCAAAAGTTTAAAAGTTAAAACGTGTAAAATACTGTCATGTATTAGACAGTAATTATAGTGCTAAATTTACAGTTTGCTTTTTTGTTAGAACAGGTATTGCCCAACCATTTCCTTGGTAGCAGTTGCTAGCAAAAGAAGCTGTAATTCTCAAATTATTGGGTTCCTTATAATTACTAGTCAAGAGCCCATTTATGAATTTGTATTATAATTCTCTGAAAAGGTGTAATTATATGATACTTACATCCATTAGTACTTCACATAATCCCTCAAGTTAGAAGAGCAAGTCTTTGTTTTAAATTCGAGAGAGGAAAGGTTAAGATTTGCCTGGTCAGCAACAAACACTTCCACACTCAAGGTGACATAATTTGCAGGCACATTATGTTTTGGCTTTCTGTGAAAATACCACCAGAATGATTGCTGCACACAGAAAGAAAAGACTGAAACTAATACAAGTGTTTTTTTTTGCCTGTTATAATAATATGCCCAGTGGAAAGAGAATTTTAAGTGACCAGATTCACTGAGGAAAGTTGAAGAATTTAAATAGATCATTTTAAACTAAGGTTCAAATGTCAGACTTCATATTTAAATAGGACTTCAAGACAGACAAATGTAAAGGAAGGGAAAGTTATTCCTTAGAATGCCAACTATTAAAAACAGAGAAAAAAAATCAAAGTTTGGAGAAATGATTATTTTCCCACTTCCACTGCAGATATGGATTCAGGCAATAATAATTTAGCAGGAGTAATAGTCGTGGACAGAGGTCTGATGAGTAATAAGTCAGTCAGACTGGATCAAAGGATCCCCACCGATGATTTACAAAGAGGCAATCGGTAGTGTTATGGTAGAAGTACCGATCAGATGCCTCCCACGCCAAGGACTGGAGTGGTATCTGACAAAGCATCAGCAGTGGTTTTGTGATGTCCCTGCCCCAAACGGATAAGCTGATGCTAATCACGATACTCTAAGCAGCTAAAGCAGACTACGCAACACTGCAAAACCAATATCCCATACAGCTTAAAAATGGCCTCATCTCAAAGAGGAAATGGAAGGTAGGCTTTGGACACGGCCCACATCACAGGTGAGAAAGAGACAGGAATGCAACATACAGCATGGTGGGCTGGACCCAGGGAGAAAAGACACAGAGAGCATGTTCTGCAAGAGACTCACAGCTAACAGTACTGTGTCCAGGTTAAGTTTCCTGATTTTAAGGATTACAGCCAGTTTTTCTAACAGAATATCCTTGCTTTGGGAAAAAGCAAACTGAACTATTTAGTAGTAAAGAGGTATATGTTTGAAATTTGAAATTTATCCTACTGATATATAAGAAAAAAAGGCAAAGAGGAAAAGGTAGAGAGAGAGCAAATAATAAAACCAACGTGGCAAACTATTTCATAACAAGTTTTGTTCTTGGGTAACATTCGGGGCAGGAGTCCCTTCTGCAGCGTTTCTAAGAAATACTCAGCCATACCTGCTAGTTCACTTTTCATGATAGAAAAAAAAAAAAACAAAAACCAAAGACAGGCATCCAGAAATGTCAACACATTGCCTCTACTATAAAGAGGGTTTTTATAGAGCATTGCAATAAATTTCACAGATACCTTAATAGGAAGGATGGGAGAGAGGAAAAGCTAGACCGTGATGAAGAACTGGGAATTTGAGCTCAAACTGGCCAAGGTAGAGAAGATGTCCTGCTCTGGCCAACCTTGTTGTTAGCAGAGCTGTCTGGGCCCCATTCATCAACAATGTGACTCTGCTCTGACCCTTCGAGGTGACCTCGGGACCCAGCTCCAACCCTCTGGGATACCTTGGGATTCTGCTCCCACCCTCCATGGTGACCATGGGACCCCACTCCGACCCTGCGAGATGACCTTGGGCCCTGGCTGTGACCCTCCTAATGTTCCACCTCCTCACCACGCTGCTTATCTTCAGTAGGAAGTTGTGAAACCATCTTTCAAACCTGGCAATGAGCACTGTCTACACCGGGGATCTGCAAAGAGAGACACACCTGTGCCCACTGGTCTTAGGTAGATGTCACACTGCTGAGTTACATGGAGAGCCCCTGCTCCCTTCTGTTTCCTTCCTCCTAAGTATTTATTTTCACAGATATTCCCAATCCTACGTGGAAAGTGATGTGGTCTCAATGATAGCACAAAGTGCTTCTTTTTAAAAGATATTTACTTAAGTAAGTGGGTAACAACAAAGGAGGGAGATGGCACTTTTGAATGACTGAGGCTCAGAGACTTTGATGCCACACTTGGTATTTACGAATTTGATTTATGAAGCTGGAGAAGTGAGGCCTGATTATAAACTGCAAGAGAATTCTTACAGCAAACACTTGACTGGCTGAAAACGGAGTTTATTTTACATCATTAAAGACTGAATTTCAGAAAGGACTCCTGTGTTCTCCAGCTATTGTAAAAATCAAACAAGAAAAAAAATCTCAGTATCTATGCTAAATCATCCTAACAAACACTGCTTAGAAAAAGAAGAATTTGATATCTCGATGTAAGTGTTTTAGCCCATGGAGCAGTCTAAAATTTTCTAAAAAGGAAAATGGTTTAACTTATTAAACTCCAAATATTTATTTGTACTTCTCTATGAAAACAAAAATAGAGACAATAAACAACTGTGAAATCCTGATACAGCGCTAGGGAAAGCTGCTGGGGAAATTTAGGCTCACGAGAACACAACCTTCCTTTAAAGAAACCCACGCGGGCCTTACCAGAGGCTGCTGGGGCTGCACGGCCTGCAGTGCAAGGTCCTGACTCAGAGGCTGTGAGGGCTGCTGGGGCTGCTGCATCTGAAAAGTGGAAAAGTGTTATGCCCTCCCAGACGAGGGGTGCCACTTGTGAACTCCCTTCCCCCAATCACCTTTTATCTAATTCTGTCACTAACATCGGGGACATGTTCTCAAAATTATGTCACTGTCTCAACACTTTAGGAGTGGACTTACACAAAAGCAGCCACTCACCAAACAAGGACTAAGTATAATTCAGACACAGGAACAAATCGCTTTCCTTTTCCTTTGGCCATACTTGGGTTTGAAACTCAGGGACTTGCACTTGCTAGGCAGGTACTCGCTCTACCACCTGAGCTATGCCCCTAGCCCTTTTTGCCTTTTTTCAGATGGTATCTGCCATTTTTGCTCAGGGGTAGCCTTGTATCTCAATCCTCCTCCTATCTATGCCTCCTGCATAGCTGGGATTACAGACCTGTGATATCATGCCCACCTAATACTGGATTGAGATGGGGGGTCTCACTGACTTTTTTGCCTGGGCCAGCCTTGAACAGCAATCTTCTTGAGCTCTGCCTCCTGAGTGGCTGGGATTACAGACATGAGCCACAGCACCCAGCTGCAACTTGTTAAATATCTTGTCAGGTCAAAAATTAGTATGCAACTAATGGCATCCTACAATTGTGCAAGTCAGCTCAGTAGAGGATCTGTGCTGTTTTTGTTCATCATGGGGTCCCTGTTGACCAGAATTTTGTAGATCACACTAGATTCAGACCTGAAACCCATTCTCAGGGGAGGTATATTTTTTTTCCTCTTATCCAGTGTTCAGGTTGAGACAAGCAAGCTCCCTTCCTGCTCCTTTCTGAATGATGGAGTCCTTTCCCGCTGACCTCTGGCTCAGAGTGTAGCCCCTGGGCACCCAAGCCTCACCACACTCCCCCATTTTTGTTTCCTTCTTTCCTCATAGTACATAAAGTAAGTCTGAACTCAGGTTGGATCAGTGATGAGAGCTCTCTGTACAGTCTCTCCAGAAGTCCCCAATCCAGTAACAGGATGCTTAGTAATTACGAAATAAAGGTGGCTTGTCAGTAATGAACACGACAGCACAAGTGCACAAGTGTGTGTGTGTGTGTGTGTGTGTGTTTTATGTGTTCCTCCATCTCCCTCACCCCCACCCCATGCTGAGGATGGATCCAGGGCCTGTGCACACTAGGCAGGTGCTCTACCACCGAGTTATATCTCCAGCCCATCTATTTCCTAATAAGGAAATTAAGACAAGAATCTGTCAAGGGAATGAGCTCTTTTATCTAGGAGTTGCAAGTATTTACATCGAGTAACAGAGAAATATCCCTTTGAAATAGCTCATCTGTGTTTTCCAATACCATAGCTGAACCTGACCAAAGGTGTCACAGAAACAAAGTTTTGAGTTAGACTTCTAAGAAACTGATAAAAGCCCAGTTCAGTTTCAGTGCTTTTTTCCCTCCTAAATATGAAATTTTGCATTCAAATTGCAGACCCTTGGCCAAACAGTGACTGGGTAAGCAGAAGCTCAAACTGTTAAATAAGGCATCCATCTGCTCGCCTGACCCTTGACCCTTGTGAGAGGGAAAGGAGGCTCTGTGAAGAGCCCTCTCCTACCCCACCTGGTAGAAACAGGGCAGGGGGAACTGAATGGAACCAGCTTAGCTCCAGGTGTCAAAGGCTCCAGGCTGGGTATCACTGCAGGGCTGCACTGCCGGGAAGGTGAAGGCAGCTCCCTCACCTCCCTACCATCCCCTACCTGGACAAGTCTCTGCTGCTGTCGAGCTTGCGGCTGTCTGGGCCTCATGGGGTCCTGAGGCAGGGGCGTGGAGGGGAGGCTGGGATGTGCAGCTGTCAGCACAGCATCGATGCCCCCACCCACCAGAGGGCTCTGCTGCAGTGCCTGATGGTTCAGTCTGGAGAAGAACAACAACCTGTCTTCAGGCCCAGGTGTATGGTCAGCAGCACGTCCCATGTATCCACAAAGAAACTGTGCAATAATCACTTGCACAATTCAAATAGAACAGGCCAGAGGTGAAATGACAGGTGTGAGCATTCAAGACAAAGAACACCATGCACACTTTTAAGGTACAAGAGTAGTCAGGTAAAAAGGCCCTTCAAAACACTAGTTTTTTTAAAATTGACAGTAACTGAGCATTCAATGCAGAGCAGGTGCTTGTGAAGGTCTTAAAGTATTCCATGTGCTCCCCACAATCCCCTTGGCAAGCCAGCAGATTTGCTATCCCGCTTTAAAAATGGGGGAACAGAGTGCTAGAGATGGAACTAAGTTACTCAGAAAGCAGTGGCACAGGTAGGACTTGAAGGCAGACTCTTGTCGCTTAAATTTTATTTAAAATTTTTAAAAAATTATTTGAACCCAGAATTGCTGATCTCTCAAGTTCTAGTTCTTGAGCTATGCTTCTCAAAAATGCTTCCTGGGAGCTGCTGTGTGCCACAGACAGTGACATTGGCAGTGTGCTGCCATCCCTGCAGGGCGACACTTGGCGAGAAAGTTACTTCTTCTGGACAGCACTGTGCAACAGAGTTGTGCATGGCAAGTGGAACGTGCTCTAGCTGTGCTGTCCAGTGGGACTGTGCTAGCAGGACTAGGGCCATAGCATTCAGTCTCAGTGCAAAACAAAGTTAGGGCTCCCTGAGCAAAAACCAGTACGAACTTCATGAGACCACAAAGAATCAATCAAATCTCACAACAGCGCATGTGTGACTGTGGATGTCACACACCCTCTGAGGTGGCCAATGAACACTTGAAATGCGGCTGAGGAGCTAAGTGTTAAAGTCAATTTCAATTCATTTTTCATTTATCTAAATAGCCATGTGCAGAAAGCAGCCACACCAAATAAGGAGTTCAGTTACAGCCCATGTCTATCGTGACCATCTGGCCAGCCACTCCTGAGTGGGAAAGGTGAATGCTAAGTTATGGCTAAGTTATGCTCTGCTGGGTACCACGCACTGAGCACCGACATCAGCAGCCTTACAGTGCATCAGCAATTTCAGTAAGGCATTGCTAACAATAAACAATACTATCCTCTTTTGGATACTTTAAGAAAACAAACAAACAAAATCAATTTCCTTAAAAGATGGAGGAGTACCAGTATCATCAACAGATATTATACACACAAAGGAAGTGGTGAGTCAAAATGACAGGGTTCTTCAGTGAAATAAACAGGCATTCCTTGTTTGGAATCTCTCTCTGGATGCTACCAAAAGTGAGATTATATGCAAATATTCAAGGTCATTAAAAACAATTATAAAGCACCACGCCCAGAAGCAGCATAACCAACCAAACACTGAAGTGTGCCACTGCAAGCAGGAATGCCACAGGTATCACCTCTGAGAGCCGGCCACAGGCTGCAGGTATGGCGAGGCCTGCTGCTGCACATAGCCGGCTGGCTGCTGCTGGATCTGTCGGAGTCTCTCCATCAGCACAGGGCTGGAATGCGTGGCCGGATAGGCCCTGGCACTGTAGCCGGGAGACAGGACCATGCCGCCAGCCTGCTGCTGCGCCGACTGTTGCAAAGGCATCTGTGTTCCATACATTGTATAGCCCTGGGGCATGGTCTGTGGGAAGGCAAGGGGAGAAGTCAGTACCAGGCTCCCACCACTAAGAAACATGGGCCAAAGGCAATCCCGTGGTCTACCGAAGGCAAGGGGTCAAGTCAGAAAGCTATGGAATGATTTACCAGCAATTTCAACTGAAAAATAAACAAATCTTCATTTGCTTAAACTAGTATTTAAGATCAGCTGCTTGTTGTGAGGGAAGCAGGCTGTGTTTCCAACAGAAACACACAGACAAGCGGCATACAATACGTTCAGTGTGCTGATGGTACTGATGCTCACAGGATCCCAAGCATCACTGATACGACATCTAAACTTACAAGAACAGGCTCCCATGACAAAGGCGGTTTAAAAGAATGGGACCAAACCTCTTTGGGTCTGATGACTGTGTCTGTAGTAACTAACCAGTATCAAAGAGCAAGATGAAACCAAAACAATATCAATACAAGGAAGAGAGGCACAAGTGGTGACTGTTCACCACTCTCGTGACTTGGTTGGATCACAGCCGGTTTCAGGACCCTACTGATCACAACCTGAGCACTCCAGTATTTCTACTCAATATTGATATCTGAGTTCTCGAAACCTGAACACCGTAGGCTAAAGAAAAGCTGAGGTTCTCTAGATCAGCAGACACAGTTCACAGAACAGAGGGCTGACTAGAGACAGCGACCACTGATCTGTGAATGCTCAAAGCACCCCATCTTAAGGTAGTAATGGGAAACACTGCCAGCAGCAGCAGCAGCAGCCCCAACAGGAGTCTTGCAACAACCCTCTGCTCCTGATTATGACAGGAATGAGGTAAGAAATAGGGAGGCAGAACTAGCAAAACCATTAGAACACACAGCTCAAGCTCCACATTAAGGCGAGTGTGTCCTCTGTTGAGTGTGTGCCATGCCAATTCACAGGCTGTCTTAAATCCTGGCATCCTTCATCTCTGCCTTACAGTCAGGGTGCCAGAGCTCAGAGGAATGGGAACTGCCAGTAGTGTGCTGAGGTCAGCCTCCACGCCAGCCATTGTCTTGCTTTTCTACCTTGGTTCCTCAGCGAAGTTCTTTGAATCTGACTATTTCAATCATGAATCACTTTAGATGCTACAACATAAAAGACTTCAAGCATTTCAAGATCTACATCATTAATATAAAAATTTGAGTTTATTTATATTTCTAATTCAAGAGTTTCCTAAAAATGTTTTATGCTCCTTAAATTAATAAATCCTGGGACTTGCTCAACAGTTACTGGTATTGCTTTTTTGAAATGTCAACACATAGAAGTAACTACATTCTGGGTCCTACGGGGGGTTTATATCCTATTTCCTTGGTCTCCTCCTTCACATAGAGTATTAAAAATCTGGGTGTGACGGTGCATACTGGTCAGAGACTAAGGCAGGAGGATCTCAAGTTCAGGCCAGCCTGGGCTACCTAGTGACACCCTGTCTCAAAAAGCCAAAAAGAAAAAAAGTACCCAATAAACAACACACGCACACAATATCCCCCCCTCTCTATGAAGCATACGTGGGTACCTGTGCTTGCTGCAGCCCTGAGTACTGGGGGAGCTGAGGGGAGGGCCGTGCCTGGGCAGCAAAGAGAGCAGCCTGGTCCCCTGGCTGGCCCTGGAAAACAAAGCCAAGGCAAGGGCTGGATTCAATCTGCTGGTCAGTCTCCCAGTCACCCACCCCCAACTCCACCGCACAGAAGCAGAACTCAGCCTGCCACACTACTTTAAATGCTGCTTCTCAGGTCCCCATGTGTGTAGACTGCTGAACTTTCCTTCCTGAAGACCGTGGACACGTACAACAATAACACAGGCATCAATGCCACCCGAAACAGCAACACTCTGCTTAGCCCAAGGCTCTCGGCAAGCTCCCAGGTGCTCCAGGGTACAGATGCCCCTCTGGGTGGCATGTGTCAGTCCCCTGAGCCTGAAATCTCCAACCACAGGGCTCAACCACCCTGCACCCACAAAGGAAGAAAAGCATGTGGCACATGCGAGAGGCATACAAGCATTTCATGACTTCTTAAGGAAGTCTCTGCACAGGGATCTAAAAATTACCTATTCACTTAGGTAGTCAAGGAAAATTTGGTACCTTCCCTTCACAAATTCAATAACCAATCAGAATATATTCAATTTATAAAAATGTGTAAGTTGTTAACAGCAAATACAATTCTAACCAACTAACTGTGAAATAAAACCAATTAACATCTGTTCACCAGTCTTACCTTAATACAGGTTTTGGCTTTAGGAAACTAAATATATTGTTAAGAGTGGCTGTATGTGTATTTCATGTTTTAGTGGAAGCTTGCAGTAGCAATCACAGAAAGAAGCCCAGCCTCTAACCCTCCCTGGGTATCCCCAAGACTACTCCTTATACAAAATGAGGTTTACTATGGAGTTCTTTTACTGTTATCTGATGACAGACATTCTCATTTTAAAAGCACTACATTTTTGAAAGTGCTACATGAAACTATTTCACTGTCCTTGGGAAGTAGTGTAGATATTTCTAGCAAGGAATAAGGGATCACTATTTAGTTTAGGAGGCAGAGCACCAACAATTATTAAGAATGCAACAGAGCTAGGGTCCAGGCTTCTCCTCCTCGCTCCCACTTCTCACAAGCACCCTACACAGGCACTGTCCCCAAGTTCTTCAGCCAGAAACTCTGGCTTACAGAGCCCAAGCAACTTCGCAAGTTCATCCAGCCAGACCTGCAGTGCCATGACCCAACTCCAATGCTCGGGGCTCTTTCCATTGGGAAGAGATACCGCCATGTGCACCATTAAGGATTAATATGTTTAAATACTCATTGTATGTGCTTATTCTTAAGGACATACAGCATCTTAAAATCACCCCAACAAGAAGCTTGAAGGAGACTCTACTGAGGCTTGACAATGAGATACTGAACCCAAACATACACATCAGCAATTAAGTCCTTTCTCTGACCCTCTCATAATCACCTATGGCCATTTATGAAGCTTCATAAATTTACCCATGCATGCGCAAAACACAAATTTCTAAGTGTAACTCCTATGGTGTCTTGGTATTCTCTGCCAAGAATCTAACTTTCAGCACAGGTTCCATGAAGACATCCTCACTGAATACACATCTGTTTCCATGTGGTTGGCACTAAGAAAAATCACCAAAATTCTGTTTGTGAGGTCATGGGAGAGCCTAAACCTGCTCTCCCCCAAGTATTCAAATGGATCTTGATCCTCCAAAGACCATGCCTGGGAATCATGAAATTAACCAAATCTTTAAATATCACTATTGAAACCTACACTCCTTGACATCAGCATCTTATAAGGTCCCTGAAACACACGGCGTGCTTCTTTGTGAGGACAGATACACAGATAACACCACAATTAAAGAACAGAAAACCGTGGGTCAGAATCTTGGGACCAATAGGTTGTCCGTAACACTCGGGCCCTGCTTTGGATGTGACCCGTATGTGATGCTGCATACAGCTGTGAAACATGGCCCTTCTCTAGTTCTTCCAAGACCCCGTGGGACACACTATGACTTACATGGAGTGCAGGAGAGTAGGACAGTAACACAGTGCATCTGGCTGCTAGCAACACCCTTACTGACAAGTATTAGTTGAGATCATGAAGACTTTTAAAATGTCAACTACAAACTATTTTCTACCCCACAAGTCACAAAACTAGCTTTCAGGGAAAGGTATGGTGACTTTAAAAACAGCAGGGAGAAAGAAATAAAAAAATTACAGCTTTGACACTCTCAGATTCATGCCAACCCTTTCCGTGCAAAGTGAGCCATTTGCATACAGATATGCTATGTTCCTTCCCCACCGCAACTCTTCCCAGCACTGCGATATGCGTTGCCCTGAGAAAATCACATACACCCCAGGCTGGCAAGCGTTCCCCAAGATGTCAAGTACCCCAAACAGAAATATCCCCATCTCTCCTGCCAGACTAAAACATACCGCTTTTTTTTTTCCTCCAGAATGCCAGAAACACATTGTTTCAAGTTGCAGAAATAGTTAAATTCACTGAGGAAAAGTAAGAAGAATTCTTACTTGAAAGACTTTACAAACGTTAAACAAGGACCACATTGTGGGGATGAGGGAGGAAAACTAGAGACAGAAAAGTAGTAAAAGACTTAATGTCAGTGGACAGGTTTTAGCTGCTTTAAACCAGGAACAGAAGGTATGATGCACCATCCAACTGGATGGCCAGGACCACAGGACAAGTTGGGACCATACCCAATAGGCTGGGACAAATAGTCACTTTGCCTGTTATTGGGGGTGCACTGTGACATCTGCAAAAGTTCTTTATTCACAGCTGAATTCACTGAAAGCATTCTAGGCTGTATGTCATTTATTTTTAGTCAGTTCTCAGCAGTGTCTGGTATACAAAAAGAGATAGTGAGAGGTGCTCAGTAAACCTCTGTTGGAAAGAACAGATTGAGCGAGCCAGGTCACTTGGGATTTCTATTTTAGCAAAAATGAATTTACCAAGTCTGTTCCAACCTCCTCAGTTTTCGGCAACACAAGTTTTTTTTTAAAATCATTTAATTCGGTGAGTGTGAGTGGCATCTATCACCAGCCACATTAGAATCTACAAAATGTCTTTTTTTTTTGGCCTGTGTTAATGTCTATATTTATTCTACTTGACTCAAACAATCAGAGGCAACACAAACTGCTTATTTAACAATGACAAGGGAAGGACAATCTACGAAGCTGGTTTTTGTTGGATTCCTTGTGTGTAGTCAGGTGCCATGTGACCCTAAGCTCATCACTGGGAGAGAGTGAAGACACGTGTGCCTGCTGGAGCCCATGGCCTGCATGTGCAAAAGGAAGGCTACAAATGGGGTGTTGTGGCAGTCATACTAGTCCAGCCCTACATTGCTACCTGAGGCAAATTCCCACATGTGGTCTCTTCCACATGAGTAAATTCCTGCATGTGCTTCCTTCTACATAAGTCCTACATGTGGTTGGTGTCTTCCACGTTTCTGGGTCTTGGTCTCTTCTCCATTGGCACCCACACTCTGT